AAATCTTGATAAAAGCTGACAGGTGGCGGGCACATCAAGTCAATCGTGCGGATCCCCTCTGGAAAGCCACGAAGGCTTAAAGGCGTTGTTGGGAGCATGGAGCGCACGCACGCTTCCCCACCAAGTCCCGTCCGCCGCCTTGCCGTGTCTCCACGCCGTTTCTCCGCTGTCCCGCCGTCGACTGCCACAGTGCCAACATCCTCTGACATGCCCCGCTTCATCGTGCCCCTCTATTTCCTGCATTGAGACGATTCGGAGGCGCATCCGCTCGGTCGAGAGGAGTCCGTGGCCAGGCTGGCACATGTCGGGCGATGGCGTCGCACGTGCGAATGACGAGCCTTGTTGAGGCTTTAACCAACACTCTGCTGGGCAGAAGAGGGACCAACGGATGGCAGCTAATCACGCCAGGCCATGACAAGTGCTCGCTTACCTGAAGCACCGTCGCGTCCAGCCTGCCGAAATCGGATGGGGTAGTAGGCGGAGGCTGATTGGTAACGCGCCTGAGGCTGCAAACTAGCTCTTCCCTCCTTCAATGAGTAATCGGCGACGCGTTTGCCCCCCAGCCTTTGTTCTGTTCTGCTCCAGTGCTAGGCCAGTTGCTGACTCTTATTGATCGGCCGCATTTGATGCGTCGCTGGGCGTTAAGTGGTACCGTTATTTCCTGTCTAAACCAGAACCAGGACTTGACTTTTTGCCCCACTACTCTCTCTAAACTCCCCCGCCATCCACTCTCAATATAAGGGCCCCTCGCCTTCCCCTTCCGCGCCGCCCGCATCCGACTTTCTTTTTTTCTCACCTAATCCTTTCTGCACATAAATCTCTCCTGCAATTGTTCCGTCACTTTCCACTTCAGCCTTTATAAAGCCGCAACCCGGCGCAAGCCTATACTGGCACGCGACCCATCACACCACCCCTAGACGCGCCAATCCGCTGCTATCCGCGTCGGTCACATCTTCAACGCATTACAAAAAGCCTGTGCCGCACTTACGGTCCCTGCGTCTTTGACGCCCCCTCTACATCCACCATGCTTCCACAGATCCCGCGCCCAAGCGACTACGACGTCTCGGACGTCAACGGCTTCCTTCCGGCCGACATCCCTCTGGAGTTTCTTACGGACCCTTACTACCGGCCGTGGGAGAGCACCGTCAACAACTTGCAGGCGTTGATCCTGACCAGGAGACTGCGCGGAGTTGTCGACCGGCTGCCCGTCCTGTCGACCGACTTGCTCAGCAGCGAACCCGAATGGCGGAGAGCATACAGTGTATTGGCCTTCATCGCGCATGCGTACATCTGGGGTGGAGAGTCACCGGTCGATGTGAGTGTTACCTGTCCGGGTAGCATTAGTGGGGCTAGTCTAGGCCTTGTGCTAACAGTGTGCCGTGCAGAGAGTCCCGCCGTCGATCTCCGCACCCTTCCTCTCCACGTGCCGCCATCTCGAACTGCCGCCTGTGGCTACCTATGCTGGCCTTGTTCTCTGGAACTGGCGTCCGCTGGACCCTTCGGCGCCCATTGACAACCTCGAGAACATTTTCACCCTGAACACGGCAACTGGGTCCTTGGATGAATCATGGTTCTACCTTGTTTCGGTGGCCATCGAGGCTCGCGGCGCGCCCATTATTCCCATGATGCTGGACGCCATCGAAGCAGCCCGCTACGGAGATAGCCACACCGTGACCGAGTGCCTGCGCTCCTTCGCTGAACGCCTTGACGAGTTGGGCACGCTGCTGCAGCGCATGTATGAGAACTGCGACCCCCACGTTTTCTACAACCGGATCCGGCCGTACTTGGCAGGCTCCAAGAACATGGCCGATGCCGGTCTGCCCAATGGTGTCATCTTCGACGACGGTACTTCGAGCCCCCAGAATTACGTCCAGTTTTCCGGCGGCTCCAACGCCCAGAGCTCCATCATTCAGTTCTTCGACATTGTCCTGGGCATCGAGCACCGCCCGACAGGCGAGAAGCCGGCCGGCAGCTCTACGACGCAGTCCTCTGAGCAGCAGGGCACGCCACCGCACCCGCCCACGCCCTCGCACAACTTCATCAAGGACATGCGCACCTACATGCCCGGCGGACACCGGCGCTTCCTTGAGGACGTGTCCAACGTCGCCAACATCCGCGAGTACGTCTCAGCGCGGCGGCACGACCGCGCGCTCTGCACGGCCTTCGACGCATGTCTCGCGATGCTGCGCGCCTTCCGCGACGTGCACATCCAGATGGTGTCGCGGTACATCATCATCAAGTCGCGGGAGTCGGCCTCGCGCACCGGCGCCACGCCGCACCAGCGCACGAACCTGGCCTCGGCGAACAAGATGCAGACGATCACGGCGGGCAGCGTCGGCGCCGAGGCCTCGGGCAGCGGCAAGAAGGACCTCCGCGGCACGGGCGGCACGGCTCTGATCCCCTTCTTGAAGCAGGCGCGCGACGAGACGGGCGAGCCCGCCATTGACGCCTGGGCTAGGCGCCTGCTGGGCAATGGGCCGGCGGACGCGGGCGGTCGCGGTAAGGGCGGCGCGCGCTTGACGAAGATGGGCGAGCATGCTAGTGGTGAGATGACGACGGTGGGGTTGGCGGGCGTGTGGAGCGTCGATGATAGTGAAGGTGGCATCTGCCATTGGTAGATCTGTCTGCCTGGTACATATGGGTGGTTATCGTCGCTTCTTTTTTTGTCTTTTTCTCTCATTTTCTTATGGGTTGCCGTCGTTGGCATGGCGTTTTGGACGGGATACTACGCAGGGTGCAAAAGTGGGATGCTGACTGATATACCTGCGGCGGGTCTTTTCTTCTCTTGTTCTTCTTTCATTTCTCTCTTCTTGCTCCATCTTCCTCTAGGCGCGGCGTTTCGGAAAGATAAACAGACGGACAGGCATACAGACTCTCGACTCTGCCCCGGGTGTGTCGGATCTGAGGTGGCTCTTTGTCTTTCTTTTTCTTCTGGCTTGCATTCGCATAGAGCACGCGATAGACAGGTAGAGCTGGTAGCTGGTATGCATCGAGCGCTGTTGTCTACGAACAAGCTGGGGCTTTGCAGTGTTGAGTGATGGCATAGGTACCTACTTGTACTACGTATTTGCGGCTTACTGCTACACAGGCAAGTATTTGGTAGCGGAGGGCGAGGAATGTACACACATACGCGGCACGCCCCGCACATGCACATGCCCTCAGCCATCATTGTCGTCCTCGCAACGGAGCACAAAGACGGGCACGCATGTCGTACTTAGTACGTACGCGCGAGCAAAGCATGCCATGCATGCCAGACCTACGGCGCCCCCGCTGCCATGCTTCGAGCGTCGCCCATCAGCAATCGGGACTGGGAAAACAAACCCATTATAACATAGCACGACACAACAGTAGCTAGCAGAGCCACGCTCACACCACGCGCCATGTCTCGCTCCCGTTCCCGTTCCTCTGCTCCATATGCTTGCTTACACATTCTATGTGTGGTTAGGACCCGCTTGCCGACTACAACACTCTGTTCCTTCTTCTGCGTTCCTTCCTTCCCGTCCTTCTATTACCTTCCCTAATCCTTCCGGAATTCCGCCCCTTCACCACCACCCCGGTGCGGGCGCGCTCACTCACACGAGCCGCCCAGTCGCGATCCCAGCTGCTCGCACGCCGACCTGCCTAATCCGCTACGAGCGGCAGCGAGGCGTGTGATAGTGATGGGCGGACAGAGGTGCATAGGTGGACGCCACATGTAAGCATGCAAGCATGCATGCATGCGAGGCACACGAGAGCACACGCTGCACAGTTTCTTGTGTTCACGAAAAGAGCAAAGGTTATTTCACGAGATATTGTCTTCACGGTGGTTCAGGTATTTGGTACTTGGGTAGATGTAGGATGAATTTATATTTGGTATATTGTTGGTATGTGGAAAAGCTGAGCTGTTGAATTGTTCATCAGATATTTTACAGTGTTCGCATCACGCGCTCCCGTCACCACGTAGGGTCTGCGGGAGCGCATCAGTGCTTGACTCTATTGTATATATCATCAGCTGAACAACAGCAAAGCCCTCTCTCTCTATCCCCAAAAGAAGAGTCCGGCCCGTACGACCGAGCTCACCAAGACGCTTACGTCTCGTGACAGCAACTGCAGACTCGAAAAAAAATAAAAAGATAGAAAGAGTGAACTCCTCGCACCAAGAATAAGCCCCATCGAGTTACCCCCTCCCAAAGCGGAAGAGGGCAATCGCATAACTATCTTCTCGACGAAAAAAAACCCTCCCCACTACCTTGCGGCGACCTACATCGCCCAGCACGGTATCCCCGACGCCTCCGCCCAGGCCCAAGCACCCACGCGCAGCGCTCCAGCCATGCTCTGCCCGGACTCATATCCTCGTCCAGAGGGACAGCGCAGGGGGCGAGAAGGGCGCGCGCGGGAGCAGGCGCAGGGCGTGCGAGCGGCGACGGGCGTGCTGGCCGAGGCGGAGTGAGACGAGAGACCGCGTTGCTTCTGTGGCGGCGCGTTGACGCGAGCGCGCCCGCGCGCGGCGGGCGTCGTCCGGGGACTTTCTCCCAAAGCTTTGTGTGTCTGTGAGAGCACGAAATTCGTGTCTCTGTGTGTGAGCTTCGCCTGCGATTCTTTGGGCGAGGAGTTGGTGCGAGAAGGTTGCGCGCGAGCGCTGCGCCGAAGAAATCTGCGCTTCGGCGCTTTGGTCGGCCCGGCGTTGGGTGCCTGATCGGGTTCCGCCGAAGAAGGAGCGTTGCTGCCTTTCTGCCTTGTTGCCTTAGAGCAACGAGAGCGCAAGCACCACAAGCACTACCAGCACTGGCCGATATTTCGGCCACCGCAACACTCAATACGTCTTTCGAGGCTATGTAACTAGTAACTAGGAGGCTTACGGGACACGCTGCGACAACGGAACGGACGGAAGGAAACAGACAAGGATGTCGTCGCATGGGGCGCTCGTGTTCGGACGGCTTTCAGGCTGAGCAGCGGGCGCCGCTCACCCACGCGCGCGCAAAAGCACTGGATTGGCAGACCCTTTTCTTAGTTCTTCACGAAATGTCATATCACATGATCTCTGCATGAGAAGTTTGTGAAATCTATGCGTTTTGAGGCTGCGAGTATATCTGGTATCTGGTATCTAACATATCGTATCAAGAGGCTGTGGTGTTGTGCATGACACACCCACGCTCCTGGATACCGCGGCCATTGCAGCTGCTTGTCCCGCGGCCGATGAGTGCGAACTGAAAATTAGAGAAAAGAAGAAAAGAAAAAAACCAGTAAGACAGGCAGTGGGAAGAAGTAGCAAAGATGCACCTGAAGAACCATTGCGACCTCCTGGTCCCGAACCGTCCGGCCGAACCAAGAAAACCCCGCGCGTGGGTATGGATGTGTGCGCGCGTTCCAGATGCAGGAGGTAAGAAGAAAAAAAAGGAAGAGACATTATTCCTTATCCTTCCGTTCCCCCGCTGTCCCTTGCAACGGTCCCAACGCGCCGGAACCAATCGAATGAAAAACAGAACCCGCTGCATGCGTCGCCCTTATTATGCACAAAAGCAAAAGCGAACTAATCCGACGCGCGTCGGACCCAAGAACGAAGAAACAACCACGATGATGAGATGCGTGATCGACGATCTTGTGTAGCGCTTACAGAAGGGTGGCACCGAAGAGGGTGGAGCCGAGAACGACCATGGTGCAGACGAGGGGAGCGATCTCGAAAGCGGGGACGCGCAGGCCGCTGGCAGCAGAGCCGGAAGAGGAGCCGCCGGTGCTGGAGCTGGAGCCGCCAGTGGCGGTGGCAGTGACCTCACCGGAGCCGGCGGTCGCAGTGCCGCTGGACTGGGTGCCGGCGTTCTGCGAACCGCCCTTGAGACCCTTGCGCTCACCAGCGCCCTTGGTCATGTACTCCTTGGCCGGCTCGGGGATGGCGGGCAGCGAGTCGCTGTCGACGTCCCAGGTCTTGGACTTGGACGGGCAAGTGGAGGCCTTGCCGTCCTTCTTGTAGCCGCCGTCGCCAGAGGGCGCGGGAGTCTTCTCGAGGGCGTTCTTGTAAGCCGTGAAGTCGTCGTTCTCCGTGGCAGAGTCGCTCGAGAGCTTGGCAAGACCGTAGTTGTTACCCTCCTCAGCATACTCGTAGACAAGACCACCAGAGTAGACACCGGTCATCTTATCGGAGTAGAGAGCCTCGACTTCCTCGAACTTGCGCTTGTTGGTGTTGCAGCCAAATTCGGACAGGAAAAGAGGAATGCTGTACTCGCCGTACTGCTTGACCTTCTTGTCCCAGCCAGCAGTCTCGTACGAAGAGGGGTCGCACCAGGAGTAGTCGTTGAAGGCGAAGAAGTCGGAGCGCTCGTCGTCAGTACCGCAGTTCATGTACTCGGCCATCTCGAAGCGGTTCGAGTCGACGTCAGCAGCGGAGTAACCGACAGGAATCGAGCGGTAGCCCTGGCTGCCAATGTACTGCTTCATGTCACGGGTGACGGCCTTGACGTAGGGAGCAGCGCCGGTGGTGTCATCGGAGTTGATGACCTCGTTACCGGAGAAGAAGAGCAGGGTGTTGTCATAGTTGGCGAAGGCGTCGATGGTAGCGAAGACGTTCTGGAGGTAGACGTCGTTGTAGGAACTCTTGGGCTCCTTGCGGTTCAGGGAGTAGTTGGGACTGTTGACGTCCAGGGCGAGGTAGATACCGGCATCAGCCAGCTTGGACATACACTCGTCGTGGTTCTTGGAGTTGTCGACCGTGTAGACACGGACAGTGTTGATACCAAGCTTCTGGAACTCCTTGACATCACGCGCGCAAGCCTCGGTGTCGGCGATGGGGTCGGCGACCTTGGAGGAACCACCGGGCTGGTAGTCAACACCGCGGATGTAGAAGCGCTTGTCGCCAGCGAAGAAGGCGTTACCCTTGACAGAAACCTGGGGGGTCTTGCTAGAGCTAGTGGAGGAAGCCCTGGGCGCAAGGGCCGGGGTCGCGACGGCGCCAGTCGCGGAGAGGGCGGCAACAGCGAAGATTGTTCCCTTCATTGTGGATGTGGACGGAAGATTATTCGTGGGGGAGAAGAGAAGTCGTGGTCTGGGCGCAAAGGTGGATGGTGCTTTAACGAGAGGAAGATGGTATGTGAACGGGCGTGGTGGAAGCTCGAGTGAGTGAAGAGTCTTCCAAGACAATTAGTAGTGTAGAAAGGTGGTGGAGAAGTTGGAAGTGGCAGGAGTGGGTTGGAGGAAAGAGAGAGGCTGGGAAGTGGAAGTTGGCTTTTGTACGGCGTCTGTTGTTGGCTCGAATTAGGAGAGGCGGCATCAGGGATGGAAGGAACCAATGGGTTTGCGTGCCAAAGTCAACCTGCCACACGACTGGGGGCCGCGGCTGGCAATGGCTGGGATGGCATTCCATGTTCAGCAATCTGTTTGGCAGCTCGCCCGCCAGACCCCAGAAAGACCCACCCAACGCCCTCGTCGATGGCGTTAGCTAGTGCCACCGGGTGGCTGCAGAGTGGAGCCGCAAGGCGAGGATCGTCACGCCTTGGCTCAGTTCCTTGGCCCTCTGAAACCGCGACAAAGCCATTCCCCAGTTTTCTTGTCGACAATCATGATCTCCCGCATCAGCCAATGACGATGTTGCGCCGGTCCCCTCGCGCCTGACGCTGTGCGCTGTTCGCGCGACGCTGCTGTGTTGTGCCGCTGCAGCCAAGCACCCAAGCAGCGAGGCAGTGCTGGCCCAGTCTCTGCCCCCGTCTCTGCCACGCCCTGCCCGAGCCAGATTACGAGCTGCTCACCTGTCAGAGGGGGCCGCCTGGCTGGTTGCAGCCCTCATTCGTATCGATAGGTAATCACCAGCCAGCGACGCGTCACCAGCCCTGTCGGGAGTCAGGCAAGCAGTCCATTTCTACTCGAGCTCAGTCCTCTGCATAACTTCCGACTGCAGCAGGATGGCGAGACCGGTCGCAATCGACACGCATAGGGTGAGAAAAGGAGACGACGCCGAGTCACGACGATGCTGCTCCTGCCTATCCGTTGTCGAAGAAGCGGTCAACGTAAGTGTGCCATCCATTTAGGATTCGCCATTGTACATCTACAATCAATTCAATGCGCGCCGTTGGTACTGAGACAGTCCGCAAGGGCCAGAGGGACCCTCTCGCGGGAGCGATCTGAGACATCCGGGGAAGGCGGCGATGGAGAAGCCAGACGCCAAGACTCGCTCTCTCACATCTCGAAGGTTTCTAGGCCGTTGGGAAGGACGCGCGTCGAGCGGTGGTTAGGAAGGGCGAGCTCTGGACTTTAACCAAAAATAGGCAGCTCGGCAGGGTAGGTTTGCCGGGGTGAGAGAAAGAGAAAAGGAGGACTGGCGGGTGCACCTTGGAACATGCTCAACACGAAACTGCATGACATCATGGGCTCTCGCCTAGGTTTGTCCCGTGCATCTAGCGGCCGCAAGGCCGGGTTTGTAGAGTGTGGCTATCGATTGCCGTGCAGGGGCCTTCCATTACTCTTGAACCGTTGCTGCTCCATCAAACAAAAATGCGACGGACAACTCTTTGTCCCGGGCCTCAGCGATCCCTATCCATCACGAGGACTGTCCCTTCAGCTACGTAATGGCTCTTCACCTCATCTAGGAGTAAGAGCATTCCGAGGTAAAGAGCAAAGGGTCACGCCTCAAGAGCACCATTGGTCGCCCATGGCGAAGCAAGGACTCTTCAACCTCCCGACTGACTTTTCCATCCAATGAACCTTTTTCTTTTGCTTCCCCTCCATTCTTGGGAGAAGGTGCTCGAAAAGTTCCTGACTTTATACCTTTTTTGCAGGTTCGGGAGATATTCAAAAGTAGGCGAGCGCTGCTACTTCAGCCTGTTCATTCTTTTATACATCTCTCTCAACAATCCCGCTGCAGTTATCCTTCCTTTCTTTGCCGGCCAGTATCAGGCTTTACCAGCCGGATATATCTTAAGGCGGTACATCATCGGGAACTACCCGATGTCTATCCTTACATTATATTTTGCCATGCCTCTTGACTGGCTTACGTTAGCCAGAGCTGCAGAAGCCCATCACTCGTCCAAGGAGGCTTACAAAGAGATCCATGAAAATGCCTTGGAACTGGAAGACTTTGGCCACAATGGCAGGCCCATCCGCAGCAACTCTGTCACGATTGCGATCAACACCGCCAATCCCGTCTGTGCCTCGCGGCGAGATGCAGCTATCGTTCGTCCGCTTTCTGTACAGCAAGCGGTGACATCGGCCTCGTTCAGCGGGATATCGCACTCATCGATAGAAAGCTGGAGATTGGGCAAAATGACATATTATTAACTGTCCATGCGTCGTATTACGGGACTTCCGTTGGCTTTATTACTTCTTCCTCCGCCCCTCTTCGCTAGTACACAGTATGAAGAATCCCCTTTACATCCCCCCAGAACTGGAGGCCGAGCTTCTGTCAAAACCTTCCGCGGCAGGATTTTGGGTACTTACATACGGCACCTCCAACTGGCCAATCAGGTCCTGCTGCGCCTAGAACCATATACGGTCAAGACTGATTACAAAATTCGAGCTGGTCAGTAACTTCTGAGCTTTGAGAAGGTGGCCATCGGTGTATTCGGCTTGGATATGCGTGGCTATTTGGACACCTTCAACGCTATAAGGAGACCGGGCTTTATGTCCCATCATCAACGCGTTTAAGCGCAGTTGAACGGGATGATGCTGGTTATTGCAGCATTCCAACTCGTTTTTGGATGGTCGATAAATCATTTCATTGGAAGACCAGTTCGTATACGTAAATCAAGCACGGCAGTTGAGTTTTTCCCCTACGAACATTTTGTTTGACCGTTCAAATGTTACAGATGCTTTTGGGCTAAACCTACTTCTGCAAAGTCTTATCCTTTTTCATAATATTGATGTCAATTTCAAGGCAGAATCGCAAATTTAGGCAGGACTTCCCTTTCATGTCGATTATCACACCTTCAATAGGCGCACGAACAGCATATGCTGAGAATGACAGTTACGATAATGTTTACTGAGCCAACTTCATCCGCATTCATTCCATTCTTGGAGAAGCTTCTCTTATTTGCGGCTCTTCCTGCCGTTGTGAAGGATACTTCTACAAACCAATCCACAAACGCGGGAAGGGCTGTTGCCTCCAACAAAATTTACCAGTTTCCCTGTGAAGCTAAGCATGAACTATTATATGAATGTTTCGGAGCATCGGCCCTTTTCGAGTGAAGATGAGGCCAGCCGTCCGAAATTCATCCCACTCGCACCACCAGCGTTATCGATAGTAGGAACGACTTCGCTCACAAATTCCATCCGTGACGTACGACAACACGCCGCGACACCACGACACGCCCCGACACGGTAGGGATACGCAAAGATGCCTCGGGACCCGCTCATTGGTCTGGTCGGCAAGCCGTCCTCCGGCAAGTCTACCACGCTCAACAGGTGCGCAATCCCAGGCCCGCGCGGCAACTCCCGGTCACTGAGAGTAGCTCGAATGCAGTTTGACGGACGCCACGTCGAAAGTTGGTCAGTAGCCGAGCACGCTCGAAACAATCCCTAAGACATTCTTCCACCAGCTCCAACTAACAATGCGCCTTAGGCAACTTCCCGTAAGCCCCTCCACCCCCCATCGTACCACCGCGGGGCACTTTCTCACCACCTACCAGTTTCACCACCATCGACCCTCAGCGTGCCGTCGGATACCTTCAGATTGAATGCGCGTGCTCGCGCTTTGACGTGTCGGATAAATGCAAGCCCAACTACGGCGCGTGCGTGGATGGCCGGCGCAGCGTTCCTATTGAGCTGCTGGACGTTGCCGGTTTGGTGCCTGGCGCGCACATGGGCAAGGGATTGGGAAACCGCTTCTTGGATGATCTGAGACACGCGGACGCGCTTGTACATGTTGTGGATGTTAGTGGAACCACGGACGCGGAGGGTGAGTCATACATTCGTCGAGGAAGTTTGCGACACAGGTTTGCGGGAGAATGTCGCAAGGCAGCAATATATTGCGGCTTTGGCAGTGTCGGGCCTGCAAAAGAAGAGGAATGGTGGAACAGCTCTCATGCGAAGGTGCTGACTTTGGACCTCAGGCAAGGCAACGAGAGGATATGATCCTTACCAGGATATTGCTTGGCTACGCGACGAGATCATGCGGTGGATATTGGGTAATCTGATGCAGAAGTGGTATGTACAGCTCAATGGCTCATCAACACAGTCACTAACTTTTCTGCAGGGGTTCAGTAAAACGGCGGCACGTCGCCGTAAGTGAGTTCCCGCAATCATCTCCAACACCATGCGAACTTGGAACGTCTGACACTGGAAAACAGAGGCCACGGCAGTCGAAACGCTGCAAACGCAATTCTCCGGTTACGGCGCCAACTCAACGATTATTGCGCGCTGTCTTGACAAGCTAGCTTTGAAAGAACCGCTCCAGGACTGGTCAAACGAGACGATAGAAAAGGTCGTCAACGCGTTCATTGACGAGAAATTCCCCACCGTCATCGCGCTGAACAAGATCGATCACCCCGATGCCGACAAGAACATCGCCAAGATCGCGAAATCCCACGCCCCGGAAACCCTAGTCCTGTGCTCCGCCATCAGCGAAGTCTTTCTCCGCCGGCTGGCCAAGCAGGGCTTCATCAAATATACAGAAGGCAGCGAATTTCTCGACACAAGGGAAGACCTGATCGAGGCCGGCGACCCCGACGGCGGCGGCCTGAAAGAGATGGACGAGAAGCTGACGCAGTACGCCAACCTAATAAACCCGTTTTGAGTTGCTAGACCAATGCTAACACTTGCGCAGGCGTATCGAAAACCTCAAGGACCTAGTACTTTACCGCTTCGGTAGCACTGGTGTTGTGCAAGTTCTGACGCGCGCGTCGGAGCTCCTGGGCCTCGTTCCCGTGTTCCCGGTTAGGAATATCCACTCCTTCTCCGCAACAGGCCAGACGGCCGTGTTCAGAGATTGTGTATTGGTCAAGAAGGGCTCGACTGTCGGCGACGTGTATAGGAAGGTCATGGGCGACGCGCCGCTGGCGTACGTGGAGACAGTGGGCGGCGTGAGAGTCTCGGAGGATGATCTCGTCGCGGTGAAGAAGAACGATGTAAGTCTACGCATGCTCTGTGTGATTTTTGATGCTGGATTGCTGATTCTGGTTGTACAGGTTTTGTCCTTTAAGGTCGGTAGGGCATAGTTGTATCCTGCTCTGAGGGTATCTAGAGTAGCCAGATTTAGATACTGGTCTGCGTCTGCAGTGAGATGAAGAGGATCTAATAGTTTGGCTCAATGTCAGATGCCTAGGATACCTCGTTTTGAGCAACTTTTCCGTTGCTACTATGGTCGTGGCGTGCATAAACTGGCGTTTGGAAGATACCTGAGCGCCATGCTTTGGGACGTCAAAGACTGAACAACTACGTGTATATCAACTACGTGTATATCTTGTAACATTTGCGAGGATCTTTCAATGGTGTTATTCAAGAATAGCAGACAGCTTTATCGGCTCTTCTCCAGCACACCGGCGATATCAGCGAGCCCGAAGAGGGTAATGAGTTAATCCCGTACCGACCACTAATGGCCGTTTCATCTTCTCTTCTTTTTAGTCTTTCGGGCGATCAGTTTAGAATGGTTTATACGCTTGTAAAGGTTTCCTGCTTTCTGCTTGTGCGGATACAAGTCCTAAAGTAAGCTTCTTTACTCCTACTTTTGTTTTAAGAACGCACCAATGGTTGTGTTGTATGCTTTGTTGAGCAGCTAAAGCATGTGTGCTCTATAATGGATAGACAACAAGGTATATAGAACTGATAAGACATTGTACCTACGAAATACGGCTTGAGAAGCTATAGAGTTGAATGCTATTACATTAGTATACGAGTTTTTGGTGAGCTATTCATCTAGCTGCGAGATCAAACTTAATACTGCTACAGTATAGTATAATCATTATATCAATATATCTGGGTACATAGATCAGATATTGGAGTTTTTACGAACTCGGATTTCGAGCGACTTACACCCTTCTCTCCTAACGTCCCTCACCCATCCGAAGCTCACCGTTCAGCGAAGCCGGCCAATTAGAGCGTGTTGCGCGAGCCCGGTCCCACACGTAATAATGAACTATTAAAAGCTCAAGAACGTCTAGAACCTGGCACGGTTGGTGACCTGATGTTTGCCTTTCTTTAAAAAAACGCTACGCCTGACTTCGTCAAGCGCCGTGCCACGTCAGAAGCTTGTCGTAATTAGCGCTCGTTAGCTAGATTTCGGAACGCGGATAGACGGAATTTCCCTGTGTGAGACGAGATGGAAAGAAACCTAGTGTTGCGAATCGGTTGGGCATGAATTGGTTGCATCCCAGGTCTCTGTTTAGTTGAGTCCTTGCTCTGTTTAACTTCTTCCATGTTTCAACGACCTTGATATTCCATGCTCTTGATAGTTGAATTGAGTTATTTGGGAAAGCGCCTATGACGTTAGATCCGCATGATTTGCGTTTTGCGCTATTAAGTGGTCCCTCTCTTTATAGGTGGTTCACGCAGGGTCTAAGCACCGAAAACGGAAATAGTAAGAGGAATCAGGTACAGAATATCATTCAGGAGTCATCGCTACGTAGAAGCTCGATCCGAACAGTTGCCGAATACTGGCGTGCAGTCGCAATTAACGTTCAAGATTATCCGCAGAGAAGCCAGGGACGACCAGACAACGCCGGGTGATTATGCTGCCCAGCACCGGATGTGCGACGGACCGAACACGAAAGAAAAGGAAATGGGTATCGAAGGGAGTATCCGACGAGTGTCGACCGCGGCGCTTAAAACTTCAAGATGATGTACCTGTAGCTAGGGTCAGCGGCTAACTCGGAGAAAACGGCGGTGTGAAGGGGGTAACATACAGCGCATGGATGATACCGGGAATGTAACCCAGGATGGTCAACAGGATGTTGATGAGGAAGTCGGCATTGCAACCGCGCTCAAGGAAGACACCAAGAGGGGGGAGGACAATGGCGAAGATGATCTTGATGATGTCGCTGTGATATGAAGTCAGTAAGCGCTGACCAGGGTGCGGGGAGGAGTTTAGGGTTCGACTAACCTTCCGGTGAAAGGCATTTTGGCGGGCGTTGTGAGAAGTTACGATTGTGGTGGAAGCAGTGGAGCTTGAGCTGAGGCAGATGAGGCTGGGTTGGGGTGGACGAAGGCAGAGGGCTGGGCGAAGGTATTTATGCAACGCGCGCGCAGTGCGGCACATGACGTAAGAGCGTCAGTGTCAAGGATCTTGGCAATAGCCGGGGCTTGTGGCTGGAGAAGCGACATCAAGCAATCAAACCCGGCGCATCCATAGTCTTGCAGCGCCGCCTAGATTCCCGTCGTCAGCTCGTCGATACCTGCTCCAACCCCATGCCCGACGTTTCATCATGCCCAGCTTCATCCGCAATCTTCGCCTCTCAGCGCCTCGCAGCGACTCCTGCCGGCGGGTAGCCAGCAATACAGCAAGGCCTTGGCGAAATGAAGGGCCAGGGCGCGCTTCCGAGTTATCCGTTGGCTGCTACTCCGGACTGCGCCACGCCGCCACATGCTCACCTGGTGCACCTCCTCTATATCTTGTGGCGCAGCATCTGCCTCTCCGTCATCTGCACCTCGTCTGACGCGTCTTTCGGAAATAGGGTCCATCGTTGCCCCAAATAGCCCCCGTCGCCTTTCACGAGACCTTCACCCGCCACACTTGTGTGACCGGCTTTCTGTTCCGCAATGGCGGGCGCCTTCTGGCCCGCTGTATGATGTTTGGATGAAGACATCAGACCCTGGATGAACAGGAAATCTCGTGCGATGTTACCACCACGAAGGCCCTGTTTCGTGCGCTTCTGTGGATTCAACAATGGCAAAGCCAGCTGCCATGTTTCTCCGTTTAACAGGTCCGCCCGCCACTTTTCCTTCGGCTGATGCGAGTCGCGAAACTCCGACATCACCGGTAGGCATACATCTAGTTTTAACGTCGATGCTTCATCTTTCCTGTTTTTCCTACAGTATCCTTCATCGTTGATTTAAGCATATCTCTTATTACAATATCAGTCAGCCACGTGCAAAGTTCTTTGTTTTCTCTCGATACTGTCTCACCCAATCACCGATCACACCCCCGTGCGACTCCACTCCGTACATCGCGCAACTTACTCGTAGGGACAAGATAAACAACTCACCATTGCCTCTTCGCACTGGCTAAAATGCATGGTAAAGCACATTGAGCATTGACGAAACACTAAATTTTACTAGACACTGATGACCAAAATGCTCATCCTTCATCCACCAAAGAATTAGCGTTCATATGAGTATCAAGTACAACTTCAAACGCTAGTGCCATTGAGAGCAATCTGACTACAAGGGGGTAGCGACTCCAGCGACTAGCGCAACTTATCACTGAGAACCTTAACCAAATGTACGCCCCTCGGCTCGCGATGAAGACACTAACTTCCCGTCACACTCTCCTCGACTTACGTGGTCCCTGTTACCATCAATGCGACAAGGGTTTCGTGCGGTGAGGCCAGCCTGCGGCAAGGCCATCCTGCGGCACAGCTGAGGGCAACGTAGCATAAGTATCCGCTTGTCCACAGCTTTGATTTGAACGAGCGAAAAAAAAATTTGCCTACTATGTCTCTTCTCTCTGATATTGCGACTCGGACGCTGGTGTCATTTGCGCAATCAACCATACTTTCTGTGCTTCAAAAGATCACTTATGGCAGACTTCATATTATTCTCAAAGAGTCGCAAGGGTCCAGAGCATGGACATTCGGCCAAGAACCCGGTAATAAAGATGACCCAGAAGTGACATTGACTGTCCTCGACGATTCCATATGGATGAGACTTTGCCTGAACCTCGATGTGGTAAGACATCAATGTTGGACTCATATTACTACTTCTCTGACCTCCAACTCTAGGGTTTTGCAGAAGCCTATATGCTGAGGCAAATTGAAATATCAAACCTCCAGGACCTTTTTGTCGTAAGGCCAATCTTCATATTTTTGTAGTATCCAGTCTCACAGGATGACAGCTTTACATTCACAATTGGGATGCTATCAGTAACGGAAGCTATCTTGCCCAAACTATCCCAAAACTCCTACGTCTCGTCATTCAATCCACGAATGATCCTGCCAATGCTCTTCGCAATGCTTCGTTCCACTATGACGCGTCGAACGAGCTTTTTTGCGCTTTTCTCTCTCCTGACATGAACTATTCCTGTGCAATCTGGGACCCGGCGAACCACACAGAATCTCTTGAAGCTGCTCAGCAACGCAAGGTCCACAACATCATCTCCAATGCCCGCATTGAGCCTACGCATCATGTCCTCGACATCGGATGTGGTTGGGGTCACCTTGCCATTGAGGCTGTTAAGCGTACTGGCTGCCGTGTGACCGGAATTACTCTGTCCAAGGAGCAAAAGGCACTGGCGGAGAAGCGCATTGCGGCAGCTGGTCTGCAAGACAAGATCAAAATCCTCATTTGCGATTATCGCGATGTCCCAATTGTACCTGGTGGGTACGATAGGGTTGTGAGTGTGGAGATGATTGAGCATGTCGGCCGTGCACACATGTCCTCTTTCTTCAGTTGTATCTCTGAGCTCTTGAACCCAACAACTGGGATCATGGTCGTCCAGAGCATCACGATCATGAATAAGATTTACGACTCACGTGGTGGCGACAACTTTCTTGACGTGTATATTTTCCCAGGCGGAGATCTTCCATGCGTGAGCGTGCTCTCCGAAGCTATCAACACGGGATCAAAACGCACTCTCGAGGTGGAGACTATTCAGAGCATTGGGCCGCACTATGCCAAAACACTTCGCTCATGGCGAGAGAATTTTGAGATAAACTGGGAGAGAATAAGGAAGCAGTACCTTGAGAATCATCCAGGTACGGATGAGCAACAGGTCGAGCCTTACCGGCGAAGATGGATTGTGAGTGATCATTCCACACCGGTCCTCCGACACTGGCTGATTGACAATTTTTAGTATTACTTTACGTACTGTGAGGCTGGATTTCGCACGAACATTCTGGGGGATCATGTCATCACAGCGGTGCGCAGACCGCAGCCCATCCCGGCGGATGTGCCCTTGTAACGGGCTGCTTTTGAATCGTTTAGCATGACTATGTAGTGGCAGTATTCTCAGAATATGCTTCTACACTGACGAACGGACAATATTCAATAGGCTTTTGCGCATCTGCCACAAGAAAATTATTAAGCAGATGAAGGTGTCGTTCAAATAAAGTTATTGAAACAGATTCGTAATAGTTGGTTCAGGTTAAAACGCGAGACGACCAAGGGTCCATCGCTCACGCGAGTTCTGAAAGAGCATTGGACCGGATAAATTTTCGCTTGCATGGATCCACGCATTCAGTGATTTGTGCATGCGAAAGAACCCCCTTGTCAGTCTAAATATATTGCTGACTGTCAGCGCATATAGATTCTATAACAAAAGCTGTGTTTCCCCACGGGATGAACATAGCTTCAACTCAAAGCGGATTTTTTCGACTGAGTTAACAACAACAGCGGGATCTCATTGAATAAAGGTTTCCTTATGGGTTGTGCTAGCTCCATATGCAGGTGGTCGTAACACCCCTGCCAACTCACTTTATTTTTTGATAACGCCCCCACTCGCATCCTACCACAAACCCAAACACTTGCAGATTCTCCATTTTACTGCAAGGCCCAAAAGACTCTACCGTACTGCCCCGTACTACAGATGCCAGTTTTACAATACAGCTATTCCTCCGGACATATGGATTTCGTATACGATAAGCTTGGAACGCAACACCGGACGATACGTCTCGTCACAATTGAGCCCGGAGCTTGGAAAGATGAGATCCGCTGCAGCCTACAAACTGTTGTATTTGATGACAAGCCCTCATATCAAGCACTGTCGTACGTCTGGGGCGATCTTGAAAGTACCAGGACAATCTATCTCAACAACCATGAGATTCAGGTCACAGAAAGCCTATGGTACGCTCTTCGACGCCTGCGAGGGCAAAGCCCGCGCACGATGTGGATAGATGCTATCTGCATAAACCAAAAGGATGATGAGGAAAAGTCATGTCAAGTCGCCATGATGCGAGACATCTTCAAAGAATGCAAAGAAGCCATTTTATGGCTAGGGGAAGACGAATGCGATATCTCTGGCCCCGATATCGTACCGACGTCTCCTTCAGCAAGACGAGCGTTCGAACTACTTGGAATACTGTCTATAGACGACCATCTCCCCGAAATACCATGCTTCTCTGTTACGAAAAACGCTGAAGTCACACTAAAGGACGAGTATAGACCGCATCTCGAAGCTTTGAGGGCTCTTGCAAAACTTCCATGGTGGACTCGTCTATGGATCGTACAAGAAGCGGCTGTCCCAGCCAATGCCACGTTTGTTTATGCCTCGGAGTCCTGCCCTGCCGATGTCCTCGTGGCCTCAAAGGTTGTCTTTTTGAAGCACAGCACCTGCTGCGACTTTTGGTGGACAGAACTCTTTCAACAACAACGACAGACTGGCATTGCTTTTAATGCCATTTTTGATTCGTTGATTCCTATACTCAGCACTCGCGGGAGATATCAGGCTGGTATAAGGCATGATCTCTTTCTACAGCGCCACACGTGCTGCCAGCTGCAGGCCACGAACCCGCGGGATCTCATATACGCACTCATTGGCATACTGCGTGACCATGAGAGCGCGAAGTTTATGGTAAACTACTCGCAGCCCACAGAGGAAGTGTTCGCACAGGCTGCATTCTACAGCATGCTCCAGAATGGTTGGAAGGTATTGCTGGGCCAAAGACACAGGGCCCCTGGAATACCGACTTGGCTTCCTGATTGGTTCGTATCATCAGCCGTGGACAACTCCGTTTGGGTTGAACTCAGGCGTAAGATGGAGCGCTACAAGCTATATAGCGCATCTCGAGAGCATGCCCCATTCTTTCGGTTGGAGAAGGATACGCTCCTACTAGCGAAGGGGCTTAAAGTTGGCACCATACAGGACGTTGGGCCTGTACTGAACGCATCCAACTTCCTTCAAACCGTTGAACAATGGAGTAAACTCCTGGGGACGCCAAATTTTCATCCAAAAACTCCTCCTCCAATTGGCTCACTGGAAGATGCGTTCTGGAGAGCCTTGACCTGTGATACCTCCAGGGACGTAGAAGACATAAGCTGGAACCCTTATCGCCGGTTAGGCGTCAGTAGGGATTACAGTGCGTTTTATGAGTGGTGGACAGATGTGCGGGGAGGTTTCCTGTCGCATCCGTCAAGCTGGGGCTCGGATGTATGGACTGCTAATTGCTACCACCGGATGTTCCTCACAGAAGAGTGCCGGATAGGCATCGCGCCGGGCAATGCCTGCGCGGGCGATGAAGTCCATGTGCTGGTGGGTAGCAATGTTCCGTTCATTCTTCGTCGTGGGCACGTGGAGGAGTCATATGTCGTCGGAGACTGTTATCTGCATGGGGTCATGGATGGAGAAGCGATGACGGATGGTGGCGAGTGGCAGGCGAGGGTGCAGTGGGTGGAGTTGCACTAATTCAGCCCTATCGGAGGAGGCGTGGGCGGGCCAGGGTTCGGTCGGTCGTTCGTTCGCGGCTGGCCTGGGCTGGCCCGAGCTCCCTGGTCCCACGTCACCTCTCACGACCGACTTCCCGGCGCAACGCACCCCCGACCTGAAAGCGTCAGGCGCACAGCTCCTCGATGCCTCCCGCAGCAGGCGCAACGCATCTCCTGCGAGATGGCAAGCATTCAGGAAAGTCCTCCGGCGCGTGCGCCTCGAGGAGGTGTCAACTTCACCGTCGTCCCGGCTATCGATAGCATTGACAGCGAGCTAGGCCTCTTAAGCATGTCTTACGCCGACATGTCCACCCTGTGCAGGCTCCCCATGCCTTTGCGCAAATTCGCGCAGCTCTGGGAGGACGGCGGCCGTCTCGAATTCGGCGAATACCAGCCTCGCTATGCAAAGATCGGTGCCGACAGGAAGAAGTACGGCACCCACTTCGGAGCTTGCGTCGACCTCCAGACCTCGTTGGAGAATTTCGAGGATGACATCCACAAGGCCAGTATGTCTGCTTTCCTTGTCAATTGCGCACAAACTTCGCCTCGACCTAACTCTTTCTAGTCGAAATTGTGCCCGAATACATATACTTGATCCATTTCATGTACAGCAATTGGCAACTTTACCAGCTTCAGCAAGGAACTGCGCTCAAATACCACCCGATCCTGCCATACTGGGTTTCTACGGTGTTGCGGTGGGATGACAAGGCCGGGTTTGGGCTGAGCTTGGAGACGGGAATCACCAAGGCTCCTCCAAAGTCCGTCCGGATCAGGGTGGCCCGGTATATCAAGCATATACTCACGGTGCTCCAACGGTCTGTCAATGATCCGACCGCAATGGTCCTGCCGCCTGCTCATCCGCGCATTCGGGAGGGAAAAGACGACCTCACGCCCAACTTTGACATCTCGTACTTCGTCAATGTCCTGGACGAACAAGGTGTGCCTTGGAGGAGCTGGTATGAGAGGATGCTGCCAGATGCTGCGATCAGTCTTAACCTGGCGAACGCCTATCCCTCGGCCGAATACTACAGATTCCACCTGACGCACCTTGACAATGAGAGCATCCTCGCAGCGGCAAAGGACAACCCTCTTATGGCAGAGCTGGACAGCGCTCAACAAGATTCTCAAGACACGATTGGACTACTAGAAGACGGCTCTGTGGTCTCGCCCGACGCTTCGTTTCCAACTTCCGCCCCGCCCCGCAAAGAAATCGATAATGCAGGCGAAATCACCCAACTCGCGCGCCACGACAGCATGCAAGCGCAGCAAATCCTCGTCAACCTCCCCATCGACGTCAAATCCATGGAAATCATCAACACGATCCTCGCCGCTCAAGCCACCAACAACGCCACTGTCCCGCCTCTGGACAAAACCGTCATCGCGTCCGGCTACATCCAGCACGGCCTCCGCTCGCTCGAGCGCACCCCCTCCGACGCGACCAGTCCCTTGGAGCCATACTCCCCGGCCGACGACCCCGCTGAGAAAGCCCGCAAGGTCCGCTTGCTGGTCTTATTCCTGAAGAACTTGGTCAAGCGCAACCTTGTCCCGCCTGGTGATTTGAATCTTGATATGCAGGAGATTTGCGTGCGCTATGCTGCTATCAAGGAGGTGCGCGATTTCCGTCACTGGCTAGAGACGGGCGAGGAGTAGGTCGTGCGAGATGTGTAGCTGTTCCTCTGCTGCTGGTTGAGGTGGGCTTACCTGCTTGCCTGCCTAGCGGGTTGGTGAGATGTTGATACCCTTGGGGATGGCGTGCGGTGCTTGGCGCTTGTGGTGATGTGGATTCCTTTTCGTGTGGGTATGGCTGGAAGTGGTTGGGTTGGAGGTGTGTTGGGTTCTTTTTATTTTGGGGGGGTTTGGGGGGTTGGGTCTCGGCTACTCGGATATGTGCTCGTGGGGGAGTGGTATTGTAATGGTAGAAGTTGGTAGAGTCATGAATATGTGGTAGTTGTTCATGTTGGGCTGCATTGTGTTGCGTCGTTGGGTGTTGGCGGTGAGGCGGGATATGGCGTTGCTTGTGGATAGGAATCCGCTATGGGCTGTGGTTTGTACTGAGGCTTCTGTGTGGAAAGGTGGGGTTGCTGCATTGAAGCGACGGTGCGTCCGTGTGATGAGGAGAGGGGAAATTAAGACTGAGGGTGGATAACTGTACATAAAAGCATAGTAAAGGGCTGGCAACACGAGTTGGATGACTCGCACTATATCATCGCCCGGCATGGCAAGTCGTACCCCTATAAAGCACTGGGAATACGTCTCATTTCATCCGGGTTTTGTGTACTACGCAGGCCTAAAGAATCAAAGGTACATGGTTCAACTCAAAAGTTTCGGCTTGACTGGCGCTGCTCATCACCGCTTTATAATTGTGATGAACGTCATTATGGCTATACAGTTGCGATGGGTGTCGGTATGGCTTTGGGGTGGTGAGTGTTAGTGCTACTGCGGACTTGCGTGTCACTTTTGCGAGCTTATTGAAGGGATGTCGTCATATGTGTAAAGATGCCCACTGTGAAGAGTGTGACGGTAGAAGTGGTTGGAACGAGCTTGACGGGGCCAAAAAATCTCGGTACTTCCGAGAAAGAAAGTACTGGGTTAGGTGTATGGCTCGTGGTAGAACGAGAATATATCATGAAGTTATATGGCTGGCGAAGGAAATAACTGATTTAAAATTTCCGAACAGCTCGGTTTCTATTCACTTTGTCAAGATATGGTATGATGCGCGAGGGCTGATAGTCCGGTGTTCTGAGACTTCTGGAATGGAGAGGGAAGACGGATTCTTTGGCAATAGAGTTTCGTGGCAGATCTGGGATTGAGATGGATTGAGAAGGTTATAAAGCGCCTTGCTTGCGCGTCAGAGTATTGCTGTAAGGTGCGGGAAACAGATTCAAGCTTAATCGCTTTTGCTTCGTCGCAGATCAATGCGGGTACACTTTCCAGTTGTCTTTGTGAAGTGTAGTTTGCTGCGATACTGATGGTTTCATCGAGCGGCTTCCTGAGGCCTGTTAATACTATCCATCACTCCGTCAGTGTGCTGAGCATCGTCATTGTCGATGAATAGTACTGGATGAACAAACTGCAGGCCCTTTGTCTAGTACTTACACTTTATGATTATCTCTCTAATCCTCGTAATCCCCGCGAACATATTTTGCGCGGATTTCCTTTAAGCGGATGTCTGCAACGTACGATTGGATATCATACTCATGTACCGACGTGGCTTTTTGGACTATTTATAACGCTCACAATCCGGATACTGCTGGCTTCTTCGTCTGGCGGCAAAAAGGCTACAAACAGAGTGTCATACTGGAGCTATTCGTCTGGTATGATACTCCATTTGTGACAACCTTGCTTCTAGAGCTATTCGTTTGGGTGTTCGTTGCGACAGGTTTCATCAAGATCTAATCGAATGTAAGCTACGAACCGGTTGACTTGACGGCCACTGGCATGGACGCTGCATATGGGGCCATGCGCGAATAGAACTGCCTATCCGTTTTGAAGAAGATGGAATAAACTTCTATAGCTGTATCTGGGACTGCTCCCGAATGGAACTGGCTGTTCTCAGTTCTGGCAAAGGTGATGGTTTCCCGTGGTGGCGTACCACAGGGCAGTTACAGGCTTCCGGAGAGAATAACGCAGGTCAAGCATCTGAGCAGTTTTTTCATGACTGTTGCAAAGGGCTCAGGCGTAAGACCAAAGACATGTATCTAATTGGAGCTCGCTGCGTCCGTAAAAGGCAAGATGTGTATACTTCTTAATAGTAGAGCTCCACTGGCTGAGATGGGGGCTTTCCTGTTGACATAAAAGTGCGACATCTGTTTGCTGGACTACGGTATGCATATTTGGTGAGACAGAGATGCCAGCATTGTTCGATTATTTGGTGGCCATCTGAGTGAGATTTAGAGTATTGATTAACTGTGAACAATGGTTATTGGCGAATCTTCTCGGTATAGAGATGCTCACATAAAAATAACTCTACAAAAAGTGTTGCTTGGAGATATTGGCCTAGGCTGATTTATTAGGCCTATCTATGTGACGGGGCATTCGAGGATATAAACAAGACATCTTTGAATGCATGGATTTTGTGTGATATATCCATTTCTTGGATTTCGTCTGCGTGTATGCATTTACGTATGTGCGTGATGTACATCGGACATGTTTCTAACTGTACAAGTCTAGAGCGGTTTTGCAGTTGAAAACTTTACCGGCATTATGCCTTAACCAAACAGTGCCTTCCTCGTATCATACGTATACTTCAGGTCCAGGTGCCAGTAGTTCGGCGCTGTCGGCTTCGTGATCAACCACGCGTCGTCCAGCGCCTTCACCACCTCCTCGGGCAAAGGACCCTTCTCCAGATCCGTCAGGTTGCTCTCGAGCTGGGAGAGGCTGCTAACGCCGATGATGATGCCGTCGTTGCCGTCCAGGACCTTGAGCTGGCTGTGGTGGACGCACCAACGCAGCGCAGTCTCCAGCAATGTGAGGTTATGCTTCTTGGCGACGGGCTCGATGAGGCGCAGCGCCTCCCACGTAGCATCTTTGAAGTAGCGCGCGCGGTACATCTGGCCCATAGTGCCAACCGCGTCGCTGTAGCGGCCCTCGGCGGGAACATCGCCCGCAGCACCCGAGTACTTGCCGCTGAAGATGCCGCCGGCAAGCGGATTGTAGACGACGATGTCGAGGCCGTAGCGGCGGCAGGCGTGGATCAGCTCCGTCTCGATGCCGCGCGTGACGGCGTTGTACATGCCCTGGTAGATGGTGGGGCGAACCCAGCCGTTGGCCTTGCACGTCATGACGACCTCGGCCACCTCGAAGGCCGTGAAGTTGGACAGGCCGAGCCGCACAAACTTACCCGCCTTGTGCAGCTTGTTGACGGCCTCGAGCGTCTCGGCGAACGGCACGGAGCGGTCGGCCGCGTGCAGATAAAATATGTCCACACAGTCGGTCTTCAGCTCCGCCAGGCTCGTTTCCAGTGACTCCGTCAGCCTCGCCGGCGTGTGCTGCCCAGGCTCTCTGGGGTAGCACTTAGTTGCGAGCGTCAGGCCACGCTCTTTCCATTGGGCGGCCGCGGTGAAAGCTTCCTGCTGGCCGCCGATGTAGAGGCGCGCCGTGTCGACCTCGTTGTAGCCCCGCGATTGGAGGTGGTCAAGGCATTTCTTGTAGTCATCCAGGGAGGTGATGCGGGCGCCGGTGGACGGGTCCGGGCTGGCGATCAGTGATCAGTGAGGGAGGGCGACGAGTGGGAGTGCGCGAGAACTTACCCGAAGGTCATTAACCCGAGGATCTGGGGCAAGGTCAGCACATGCATGGACCCATGAGGCAGGTGAGACTTACGACACGGGGCTTGGGGCTCTGGGCGACAAGAGGCATGATGACTGGAATGGGGTGTAGATAGATAGAGAGAGAGAGAGAGATGGGAGAACTGAGGATAAATAGAGACTTGTTGTCCTCTGCTCGTAGATCTCGTCATCCAGATTCTAGACATGGCCCCGCAGCGGAGGTAGTGTGTTAAAGCCGTGGGCGCTTGAAGCTAATCGCTGGGATGCCTCAGGCAGAGAATCGGCCAAAACGCCAAGGCGCACATCGTTGATCGGCGCAAAGAAGTCCGGAGAACGTTTAATGACGGATGTTTCTGATGGGTCCGCACGCGCCCCTGGCAGCTCAGAGACAGACGAGGGATAATCTATCACACGAGATTTAGGTGGACACACGACGGAAGACGGGAGCCGGGCGACAGCGGTCAGGAAGGACGCGCAGGCAGTCAGCCGGGAGGGCATGCGCGGGGGGCGTCATCAGAGTCCGCTAGTAGTGGAGATTCGCGACCAGGGTATGCGGCCACGATTCACTCTTGTCCAAATACTTGCACCCACCGACCCTTGATCATCTTGCACCCCACACAACACCGCGTGCATGCATAAACACCAACCCGCCTCCCCCTCGAGCGCCGCCCTTCGTCCCCCGACCCTCCCAGCTGAAGACTCCCTCGTCAACCTTTCGCGTACCTCGTCTCCGTACGTCAACGTGTCTCCCGCCGCCGCCGCTGCAAAGGGGAAGGCCGCTGAGCCTGACAACCAAGAGGATCCCCAGAGCGATCTCGAGTTTGACGATTGGGACGTCAACAGCCAGGACGGCTTAACCGCCGACGAGCCACACCACCGTAACACCAAAGACATGCCTTCCGACATGCGCCCACCCTACCACCGGCCCACCGAGGGCCGGTCACATACGCCGTTGCTGGCCAAGCGCGATGACAGGCAGAGTTACGATTCGCCCAGTCGGCCAATGTTGGGCAGGCGGAGGACCTTCCACGAGCGTGACCCGGAGGTGGACGCGAAGCGCGAGACCAAAACGAGATATACATACGCAGCCGCTTTCCTGGCCCTGAGCTTGGTCAGTTTCACGGTGCAGACAGAAACTGCAGTTTACATTCAGCACAACCTTGGCTGGAACAAGGCCTACATGATGCTGTAAGTTCTTGTGAGCCATTGGTCTCCGGACCGGGGGCGGAGTTGGCGCGGAGCGATGCGCCGTCCATCTCAGTCGCTGATTCGTCCAATGCAGCTATTTAACACACGGCTCATGGGCTCTCCTCTGGCCGACGCAGCTGATGATCCTGCGCCTACAAAAATGGAACATGCCATGGCCTACCTTCTGGCGGCGACACGTCCAGATCTTGCGCAGCACCGCGCAAATGGTCGAGCACCAAACGCTGCATCCCACGGCGCGACAGATCTCCAAGTCGCCCATTCCTTACATGCTCAAGGTGACGGCCTTTGTGACCTGCTCCCTGACCGTCGCCGGCGGTTCCTGGTATGTGGCTGTGGACCTCACGACGGCTAGCGACCTGACTGCCATTTACAACTGCTCGGCCTTCTTCGCGTACGCCTTCAGTATTCCCCTACTCCACGAGCGGGTGCGGTGGGGCAAGGTTATGGCGGTAGCGGTGGCCATTGCCGGTGTGCTGGTCGTCGCGTACGGCGACAAGAAGCCCAAGAAGCATGGCAGCAAGTCCGGTGGTGGCACCGGCGGCGACACGGCGCCTGACGATGCGGAAGCGCAAAATCGCGCGCTGGGTAATCTCGTCATTGGCGTCGGCTCTGTCCTCTATGGTTTCTATGAGGTACTCTACAAGAAGGTCGCTTGTCCGCCGGACGGTTGCTCGCCGGGCCGTGGTATGATCTTCGCAAACACGTTTGGCAGCCTCATTGGCGCTTTCACGCTGCTTATCTTGTGGATTCCGATCCCGCTACTGCACTTTTCGGGGCTGGAGACGTTTGCGCTGCCGCGCGGCGAGCAAGCATGGATGCTGATGATTAGCGTACTCGCGAATGCCAGTAAGTTCCCCATACGAAGCGTTCAGCAACTTAAAATTCGCAGGCGTTTACTAACACATCGCCCCAGCGTTTTCTGGCTCGTTCCTTGTCCTCATTTCTCTGACCTCGCCCGTTCTTTCCTCCGTCGCCGCGCTCCTGACCATCTTCCTCGTCGCCCTGCTTGACCAGCTGCTCCCGCCGCCTCTCTACCAGCCGCTTTCGGCCGCGGGCATCGTTGGTGGCCTCCTCATCATTGCCGCGTTCCTTGTGTTGAGTTGGAGTACGTACAAGGAGATGGACGAAGAGAGGCGCAAGAAGCTTGAGGAGGACGTCAGCGACAGTGACGCTGAGAGCCGGCTCGGCGACTAAGTGGCTGTATGAAATAGCGCGGCTACGGGCATAGCGCGTGTGTAGGTCACATGAAGAAAAAGGCTGGCGGCACGGGTTTGCATTATCTATCAAAGAGGCTGGATTCTCGTCTTTTCTATTGGCTTCTTTGGTTGGGCTTTCTTTCGCTTTTCTTGTGTGTGTGTGTGTGTGGGTAAGGCTGCCGTTTGTTTTGGGTTGTCGGCGGCGCCTTGAACATTAGGGATCTGACTTGCATTGTCGTCGGCTGGCATGCCCGGCGTTGGCGCTTTTGGAGGCAGGCGGTTTGGACTGCCGGTAGATGAGAAAGAACCATAGAACTGGACTAGATTCCAGTAAGTCTTTTGTCTGACTTACATTGTGAGCATGGTGAATGAATGCAATTGTGAATACTTTTTCATTAATACCAACATGGGGTATGTATGTTTAATATATACAACGGATATGGGAAACTGTCAAGTGTGTAGATGAAAGCAAACTAGTTCGAGTCTTTACTGCTTAATGAATTAATTCTTCTAGGTATTGACTGACAGGACCTCTGCGCTGGCGGGCGGCCTGGCGGTGCGCGGCACAACAGTACCTCCGAACATGTGGCTTGTGCGCGCCAGCGAGCTCCCGCCCATGAGTGACGACGCCCGTCCAGCCCAGCCCCAATCTCATGCCCGCCAGCAACTTTCCTTGTCAATAAACCAGTCAACATGGAGGGTCTTTTCTACAACGTCGGCAGCGGGTATGTATGGCCGCCTTACCGGCTAGATGGCGATGCACCCCGGTTCGGCAACGCTAATCTCACGGTAGCTACATCGAGGGCATTGTTCGCGGCTACCGCAACTCGCTGTTGACCAGCCAGAACTACGGCAATTTGACACAATGCGAGACTATTGATGGTGCGTTCACGCCCGCCCCATACACTGGTGGCGAACAATTTGACTGACCATCACGCAGACGTCAAGCTCCAACTCTCGCCCGCATATGGCGATTTCCTTGCGGCTTTGCCCCCGAACCCGTCGACGTCGGCTCTCGCCAGCAAGACGACCGAGAAGCTGGTCGCCGAATTCAGATACATCCAAGCGAACGCCACCGGGTCCCTTGCCAAGTTTATGGAGTACCTGACGTACGGGTATATGATCGACAATGTCGCCCTGCTCATTACGGGCACGCTGCACGAGCGCGACACCAGGGAGCTGCTGGAGCGGTGCCACCCGCTGGGGTGGTTTGAAACGATGCCGGTGCTGTGTGTGGCGACGAACATCGAGGAACTGTACAACTCTGTGCTGATCGAGACGCCGCTGGCGCCGTACTTCAAGGGCTCACTCAGCCACCAGGACCTGGACGAGCTGAACATCGAAATCATCCGGAACACGCTGTACAAGAACTACCTGGAGGACTTTTACAACTGGGTCAACTCGCACGCGGACATTGCTGGTACGCCCACCGCTGAGGTCATGACCGAGGTGCTGGAGTTCGAGGCCGATCGCCGCGCCATCAACATCACACTCAACTCGTTCGGCACCGAGCTCTCCAAGGCGGACCGCAAGAAGCTGTACCCCAACTTCGGCCGCCTGTACCCCGAGGGCACGCTGATGCTGTCGCGCGCCGACGACGTCGAGGGTGTGCGCATCGCCGTCGATGGCATCTCGGATTACAAGGCGTTCTTCGACCAGACGGGCATGAGCGGTGGATCGGGCGTGGGCAACATGTCCGGCGGCTCGGGCGGCGAGGGCCGCTCGCTGGAAGACATGTTTTACCAGAAGGAGATGGAGATTTCCAAGCTGGCCTTCACCAGGCAGTTCACGCATTCGGTCGTGTACGCGTGGGTGAAGCTGAGGGAGCAGGTAGGCTTTTGTCCTCTTGTGTAACGCACAGAAAATTGGTGCTAACAAGACATGGCAGGAAATCCGCAACATCACGTGGATAGCCGAGTGCATTGCGCAGAACCAGAAGGAGAGGATCGGAAACTACATCAGTGTCTTCTGATCTTTTTGTTTTCGCTCGCGCTGGGCTGTTGCATTGTGTGTTTATAAGTAGAATGGCACAGAGGGTGTAGGCGCATTGGAGTGGAGCGGGGCCGTCCGTTGTGCAGTAAGAACCTCTTTAATGTTATCGCCGCAAGAAGCTCAGCGTTTCTGTACTTGCGGAGGCAAACGAATTACGACTCTCAGACACCAAATTCCACTCCGATGCGCCTGCGCCTGCGCCTGCGCCCTATATGTGCGTGCTTTAGGCGTCAAAAATCTGGTTTGGAGCGCGCGCTTGCTGCTGCAGTATGACGGGAGCACGTCTTGTGCCTGTCTTGCTGCGTGTAGGCGGGTTCTGAGTGTGGGACGGGTGTGGAGTACGGAGTTCGGCACCGGAGTGGGCGAGTATGCTCGACTTGCATACCTACAGCAGAACGTCTGGTGGCTTTGTTTCCACAAGACAGCCCGATGGGACATTTTTCTTCCCAACAAGCCACCACTGATTGCTCTCCCCATCACATCGGGGCACTGCTGCTGCAATGGAAATGGTCTATTTCATCAAGTTCAATACCGCCGCCCACGACGAGAGCCGCTCGCTGGAAGCAAGTAAAAATGTATATAGACATATTATCGAGACCCTAAAAACTCCAGACCACAATGGTTTTCATAAAGGTACATTCTCTGCTCTGCAGCGGCTACAAACAAGCATCGTCTACTGCTGCTTCTTCTGCGCGGCGGGGCCCATCTCCTTCGTAAAGGCGAAGTAGGAGACCTCGAGGCCGGCGACGGCGCTGATGCCGACGTAGAGGATGAGGAAGAGGAGGATGGTGACGCTGAGGCCCATGAAGATGCCTGGGGGGTTGTGTTAGCGATTGGCAATGGGCAATTGTGTGTTGATGGGGCGAAGAGCGTACCTGGCGACAAGAACATGTACTTCTCGAACAGGGCAACGTCAGCGGTAGCGTTACCGCGGCTGGCCGTCAGATCGCGCTTCATCTCCGTTTTGTAGCCCGCGGGGAACTGCTCGTCCATCTCGTAGCCCTTCATGGGGTGCTGCTGCTTGGGCGGGGGCATCTGCTTCTCAGACGGTGGGGTGGTGGCGTAGACGACGCTGTAGCTGCCCTCCCTCACGCTCTTCATCAGGGCAGCGAGGAAGGCGTCGTTCTCGGTGAGGGCCGAGGCGCGCTCGTCGAGGCTCGTCGGCGGGGCGGTGAAGTCCAGCTTGATGACGCGGGGCGTGGCGTCGTCGAGCGAGATGTAGCCGCTGCTAGCGTCGACGTGCATCCGCGTGGCCTTGCACTGCTTCTCGACGTAGGCCACGATGCTCTCCGCGTCGCTGCCGCCCACCACTTCCCGAATGCTGCCGCTGCTCGCAATCCTTGCGTCGTCCTGGCTGCCCTTCAGGCTTTGTCCCAGGATCGGTGCTGCCCAGTTCGTCGAGAAGTCCTCCGCAGTTACGCCGGGCTGGTTCACGACGACGTAGCTGTCCGATGGGCAGTTGGAGAGGAACTTCTCCACGGCCTGCGATGCGTGCGACGAGCTGGTCAGCTGCCCGCTGGCGGCATTGAAGTCGCTGAGTCCGCTGATAAAGCGTTAGCTAGAGCGGCGGAGGTGGTGTTGGGTTGGCATGGCGGTACGGGCTCACTTGGACGTGGACATGAGGAAAAGAGGCGAGGTGCCTTGGAAGGCCGAGGCCGCGGAAACGGACAGCGCCAGAGCGCCAAAGGTTCGCAGCGCCATGGTGCGGGATGGTTGGGAATCGGTATCGGCTTGGTGTGGTGTTGTCGAACCTTAGCTTGCGATGGATGACCTAGGCGGATGCCAACGCGCCCGGCCACACGTTTCTCCGCTCCATGACTCGTGCCGGGACGCGTGGGCAGGTGCAAACTGTGCAAACAGGTTGTGCAGATGAAGTAAGTTACCGTCACCACCTAGACATAATTATGCAAGATTACAATGCTAGTTGTTAGATGTTCCAGTTGGTGTTGCTAGTATAAAAATATTAAACAGCTCCGAGATTTTGTGGTCCTTATTCGGTGTGCATAGGTACGGCTGTGCTACCGGTGTTGAGGTTTTCCTGGTGCACGACTATGTTCTCTAGCCAAGGCAGACGGAGCATATTAAAGGGTACTGATCGATCGTCCTCCGTACATGTTACTGAGTCTATAGGTATCTCCGGGTATGAGAAGTGGGGGATGCAGCTTTTGAGGAGACGAGATCAAGCAAGCGCATTACCGTTGCTCCGTCAGCTATAATCATAGCGGCGTATGTAGTTTGCGGACCCTATCTGCATGTCCATTTCAGTCAAGCGATAACGAAATGCGCGTATGAGTAGACAACAGAATATGGGGGAATACCCGTTATACTCCTGGACCTAGTCGTCGTCATCATCCTCCCACTCGGACTCCTCTTGACTGCTCTCCTCGCTCGTACCTTCATCATCGTCATCATCGTCTTCATCTTCATCATCCCATTCGTCGTCTTCGTCTTCCAGATCCGCCGTCGGCGCCGGATCGTCTGGATGCAGTTTGTTCCACTCCTCCGGGTAGATGATGGGCGGAGGGCCACCGTGCAGACAGTAATTGATGATAGACAGCTCATAGGCGCCGCCTTCATACCACTCGAACAAGCACGCGCCCTTGCCCTCCCATGTATAGTCCCACAGCGCCTCTAGATAGATAGTCTCCAGCTTAAGGACCTTGGGCAGCTGCTCGATGACATTCTTCCACGTGCCTTGCGCCTGCGCGATGAACATGTCTTTGAGAGACAAATCGCGGAGGGTAGCAGCATGTCGCTTGAAAAGAGCGAGCAGGTTCCGCTCCTTTGTGGTGAAGCTCAGGTGGAGGGAGCGCAAACGCGGCCAATAGACGTCTTCCAGATCTTCTAGCGGATCGCAGAGCGGTTCGTTGGTGACGAGGCCGATGAGGTTCTCCTCAGACCATTCGAAGCGCAGCTCTTCCAGGACTCGAGCTTCGCGCAGAAACGTCTTCATGCCTTCAGTGATGCTCTCTACGTCATCCTCGAATATTAAAAAGCAAATGGTTAGGTCGAGCTTTTTCAAATGTTCAAAGGCACCTCTCATCGCGTAGATGCGCGGGTAAGCGCCATTAGACGAGGCCAGCAGCTCTTCCCGAGTGTAGCAGTGGGGGACAATCACTTCTCCATCGGAGCGTTGGATCCAAAACACTTCGTTGCCTGTGAAAAACTCTAGGGACTGGACGTGCTCAGATGGATTCGAAGATTTACGGTTGCATAGTGCTTCGAGGAGATCTGTAAGTTGGCGGACACCCTCTAGCTGGGAGTGGACTCGCAAGTTATCGTGTTCACGGGCTGGAATGTACTTCCAATCTTCCGGGCCTTGCAATATCTCTCGCAAAAGTTCGCCCCAAACCGGGCCATGCTTCTTGACTTCCCCAAACCTTCCCGTGACCATGGCGGCATCTCTGAGATTAGGCAGGCGAGCCAGCGCATTGCTAAACATCCGGCTGCTCAGAGGGCCCCACACATCTTGCTCCATGCGGTACTTTTGATAGTTATCCCAACACGCGGTCAACTCGTCTTTTGTGTGCCGATATCTGGGAATGCCCTCGTAGACCTCCAGTGCAGCGCGGCGGTACTCGCGGTTTTCCTCCCAATATCCAGGAAGGGCCATGATCTCGTCGGACAAGCCGGCCTTTTTGCAGTAAACGTCAAAAAACGACTTGAACGAGGGGCGCAGGTCGATCTGGCGCTCCCACTCTTTCTTGGTATTGTAGTGCGGCAGCAGCTCACCATGAAAGGTGAAGCGCCGCACCATGTGCCGAAGCTCGGGATGAGTGGAGATGTTCCTCAGCCTTTCGAGGTTCTTAGGGAACAGCCCGCAGTGCACGTGCTCGTAGATGCGCGGCACGACGACGCGGGCTAGATTTTTGCATGTCAGCCGGAGGGACTTGTAGCTCTTGAAGTCGCAGGACTCGAAAATCAGCTCGATCAGCTCGTCGGGAAGCTCGTCCATGCTGGAGCCGGGGCGTGGGACGGGGCGAGGTGGGATGCCCGGATGCCGCGTTGATTGTTCGGGAGCACGGGTGGCGCCTAACGATTGCCAGCCATCACGTGCGTCTCAGCTTGACGCTGGTCACTGCCTCGTCCCGTTGCAAGAAACGAAACGAAACGTCACTCTCTCAAGCCGACTCAGTCCCGCTCCACCACGGTAATTTGCTGCCGACTGGCTTACGAGGCTGCGTTCGGAAAGCCCGAGGAACCGGTCTGATTCGCGGCTCGAGAGCCAGCTCAACATCGCAAGCACCAATTAACCAAACGTGCCAAACCACTAGATCCAGATCCCTTCGGATACGATCCGCTGCTTGGCAGGGCCCAGCTGGCGATCAAACATGGCCAACTCCACAGAACGCTTGGAAGCCCGCCAGCGCTAAATCCGACAGCATGTGCCTTGCTTGAAGCCGTGTGTTTACCTATCTTACCCCTCTTTCCTCTCTTTCTCTCTTTCTCTTTTTTTCTCTCATACCTCCACATTCTCTCTAACCTCGCAGCATTCCCCCTGAGCATTTTCCAACATGTCCTATCCTATGACCCAGATCGGCAACCATGGTCAGTACATGTCCCTCTGCGCACCCTCACCGCAACTCCTCCTTACACCCCACACAGCCTTCAATCACTCGCAGTCGGCCGACACCGAGGCCGAATATGACCGCCTGCGCGACCTGGCCCGCCAAGAGCACGCCAAACGCTCCGACTGCTTCGACAAGGCACACGAAGCGTACGAGAACGGTGACGGCGCGAAGGCGCACGAGCTGAGCGAGGCGGGCAAGCGCCACGGCCGCAAGATGGACGAGTACAACAAGCAGGCGTCCGAGTTCATCTTCCGGGAGAACAACGCCGAGGGTCGCGTTGACGGCGACGAGCTGGACCTGCACGGCCAGTTCGTCGAGGAGGCCGAGGACATCTTCGAGCAGCGCGTGCGCGCCGCCCAGCAGCAGGGCCAGACCCACCTGCACGTCATCGTCGGCAAGGGCAACCACTCGGCCCACCACGTCCAGAAGCTCAAGCCCCGCGTCGAGAAGGTCTGCCAGGAGATGGGCTTAAAGTACCGCACCGAGGAGAACGCCGGCCGCATCTACGTCGACTTGACTGGCGGCGAGGACCACTTGCCCAGCCACCTTGGCGGCGGAGGAAAGCTTCCCGAGAAGCACAACAAGCCTCAACAGCAGCACCAGCAGCAGCACCACCAGCCCCAGCAGCACCACGAGCCCCAGCACCACGAGCCGAAGCCCCACCAGCAGCCCCAGGCCGTTCCCCAGCAACCGGCCCAGCACCAGGAGCCCGAGGAGGTGGCCCCGCGCAAGGGCGCTCTTCCCAAGGTTTTCCGCATGTTCAAGAGCTGCTGCACAGTCATGTGAGTTTTTTTTTTCAGCGTTTGTTTTATGAGCCATGTACGTAACGTGATCGATACCCGGGGAAAAAAAAGTAAGGATGGAAAAGAGAAGGAAAAACCACCACCATAGGGATTGGTGGTGGGTGGGACCGGGACACGGGTATTAGGAAACAAGTTTGGAAATATGGGGGTGAAGGTTGGGAAAAGGAAATGGGACGGCACCTTGGGATATAACACCAGAAAAAACGTGACGACACGTGCGGATGCGAATAGCCATGGCTGACTCTTGCGCCCTTGCGCTCCTGACGGAAAGCTTCCGCTTCAAGAAGCCTTCTTCCAACTGGACCAAGGTCATCCGCCACCACAAGAAGGAGAAGAACTAACCGCGTCGCGTTCTGTTTCTCCCCGCCCCTCGCTCGCTCCCTCGTTCGTCCTTTCGTTCGCTCGTTTTCGCTCGTCTTTTTTTCGATCGCCTGCATTCATCTGCGTTTTCGCTCGTTGTTTTCGCTCGTCTGCGTTTCCGCGTTTGCGTTTGTTTTGGCTTTCTACCCCGATCCTCGTCGTTCTTCCAGTCTGTTTCGCGCGAACCCAACGACATCTATTGAGGATGGCAACGACGTCAAGGAAAGCAAAGCAAAGAGAAGAGAAGAAAAAGAAAAGAGAAAGAGAAGTTCAAGAAAAAGAGCAAGGAAGACATGTTTGAGAGAGAGAGAGAGAGAGAGAGCAGAAAGAGCTAGAGGACGGCAACAGAAAGAAGAAGAAAGAGGAAGAGAAGAGAAAAGAGACAGAGCGACAGGCTCGCGCTTACTTACCCCCTCCTCCTTCTCCTCTCATCACCAACCCACCCACCATTTACCCATTCGCATTCATCTACTTACCTAATCACCCCTTCTTTCTCTTATATGTTCTTCCTTTACCTTCACTGCCGGTCAGCAAGCGCGCGCGCACATACCCTGTACTGCATTGCACTGTACTGTACACACATGTATATATATCTAGACCTGGATACCCGCTCCTGCGACAGACAGTCAGGAGGTTAGACTTTAGAGAGCTGTATTTATTGGCTTGGCTGCTTTACAATCAATCAATTTGTTTGTTTGCTTGCCTGCTTATGTGGTCAGTTGACTGAGTGGAGAGAGTATATAGTGAGTTTTGTTTGAGAAATGAGTGAGGGAAAATGAAAAGGAAGATGACTGACGACTGTTGGTTGGTGCAGAAGATGCCGATACATGATGCTGAGATGATTGTCGAAAAACGAAGTAGTAGGAATGACGCCATGCTGCGCGCCGGTGAAGTTCACATTCTTTCCGCCCACACTTCATCCTCCAACCTCCCGTCCTTCCGTTCATTCCCCACCACAAACACCACCCTCCGCCACTCCTCCTACCCCTCACCAACCCGACCCAACCCATTCACTTCTCCCCCTCCCCTCCATACGCCCTAACCAGCGACCGCCCGACTCCCTCCCCAGACCAATACGCGCCCGTCACAGTCCCCAACGCCAAAAAACTCGCCGTATGCTCGCCAGCAAACCAGAGCCTGCGGTGCGGGACCCCCTGTCTCAAAGTCTCGACGTCCTGGTCCGCGCGCTCAGCGCCCGTCTGGAAATTGCAATAGCTGCCGTAGCCGGCAAGCGGGTCAATCGCCCACGCCGTCGGCAGCACGCTCAGCGGCGCGCACGCTGGCGCGCCCGCTTCGTACCCGGGCAGCCGGCTGTAGTAGGGCTCGAAGAAGGCGAGCAGCTTGGCCGAGGTGGCGGGCCTGGGCGCGTGCGGGTTGGCCTCGTCTGCGAGTAGGCTGGCCAGGTGTTGCGATGTCGCGCCGAAGGTGTAGAAGAGGAGGGTTGGGTGCGCGGTGGGTGCGGGCAGGGCGGCCATGTTCACACATTCTTGGCTCCAGGCCTCGGGGTTCGTCGTCGGCGCGTAGGTGGGCGCTGTCCATTGCGTGAAGCCTGGGTAGTGGTAGTTTTGCGACTCTACGTGAGAGGGCTGCCGTAGCGGCTGCGTCGTGGCTGTCGTGTTGGGGACCGAGTTCCGCGCGTTGGTGGGTATATCGGCCCCGTTTGATACTGGTGCCAGTGCTGCTGCTTCATTCCAGAAGGCGGTGGGGAACACGACGTAGAATTTGTCTAGGCATCCGTATCCTATACTGTCGATGGCTTCGGTCAGCCTTTGCGGGAGTGGCGGCTCGAAGGCTTCCTTGTTGCGCTTCAGCCAGCCTAACGGAGTGGTTATGACGACTTCGTCAAACTCCAGCGTTTGTCCATCTGCCAGCTCAACCTTGACAGTTGAGTCCTCTTCGTTCGTTCCTGATATTATCCTCTTCACCAGCTGCTCGTACTTGATCTCGGCACCCTCAACGGCGGGCTTGGCTATTTTGTCGAGGATCTTTTTGTACGTCCCTGCGACAAAAAGGTTCTCTCCGTCGATGCACTCCTCGAGCCAGAAAAACTTCAAGCTCTGACTTTCCACGGGACTGCCCACAAACGCGCCCCACATCTCCGCGACCCGGTGCAACAGCTCTCGTCTCTTCTCATCCGACTTTTCGTTCAGGTACATGCCTTGTGTTTTCTCTTTTATGTAATCCAGCAAGCTTTTGCTGGCAGGAATTGAGGCACTGTGCTCTCTGCTGTAGGCCATGGCATCTCCGATTATGCTCCATATCGTCTAGTGACATTAACACTAAAAGTATGTCTTTTGGTGAAAGTGGAGTGCAAACCTCTTCCGCTTCAGCTGCTACTTGTTCTGAAAGTTGTTCTCCCTGCTGATTATAAACACACTGGCGGCCGTCCCAGGCGTGAGTGATGGTGCCCGTCTCTTTTGCCAAATCCAGAATCGGATTATCTTCCGTGCCATGTATCCAGTTTGGGCCACTGAAGTCGCACAGCCGTCCATCAGCCCTCATGTACCATGCACATGATAACGCAACAAAGAACATTAGCATCCACAAGGAGGACCTACAGGTCAACAAGGTGGCCCTGGTGCAAGGCTTGGCAGAGCTGCAAGACACACGTCAGAGGCACCGCCTTCTCACATCCCACGCACGGCATGGGGGCACACTCACGCGCCCGCCGTACCGGTTCCTCGCTTCCAGAATCGTGACGCGCATGCCGGCCTGCAGGAGGACGTCGGCGCAGCGCAGACCACTGACACCGGCGCCCACGACGCACACGTGCGGCCTGCGGCCCCGTGGCAGCACGCGCCGCAGCGCCGCGCCGTTCATTGCGCCGTTGCCGTTGGCCCCGTTCAGGTGCTGGCGATGCGGACTCCCCAGCAGGTCCTGTTGCATGCGCGAGATGCCGTTGCCCTCGGAACCGTTGCTGCTCGCCGAGGAGCGGTGTGCCCTGCGCTCCATTACGGTGTTAGGCCTGGCGAAAGTAAAGAGAAGTAGCTGGATGTGATGATATGTTTTGTTTGGAAGGTGAGTGCGGCGACGACAGAGAATTCGACGTACGCTCAAAGCAGGTGGAAGAAGAAAAGACGATGAAAGGGACTAAGAACAAAGTAGGTAGGTATCACAAAACCAGCGGCCGAGCAGATATACGCGTGAGTAACAAACTCTACTACGTAGGTCTTTTTCGGGCTACCCAGCGCGAGAGCGCGCGCGTGATAAGCTGCAGCGGCCACCGGATTCCCAAGCCAGCCGCCACGCGCCAGGAGCGGCTGCGGCCGGCTCCACGATGGCGACATGACAGCGCGCGGCGTACGCGATGGCTAAAAAGGCCATGTCACCGGGAAAAGGCGACCGAGAGGGGAGACAGAGCACATGGGATGGAGATGGAAGATGAGAGGTGGGCTGGTCGTGGGATGTAGATGGTGATACAGAGATAACGCATGCACGTTGTGAGAAGGTTTTGACACTTACCGTCAAGGTTATGACTGTCCTTGGAAAGGTCGTCGAGTATTCACGGTTTTTCAAGGCGCTTAAATCGTGTGAGGAAGCATCGACTCTAGGTCCATGATATAAGCATCATGTGGGCCTCTATCCATACCGTCACCGATCTCCGGACCCTGCACAATCTGGTCGTGCGGGTGCCCGCGGCAGGCAGACGTGGAGGCTCCCAAGCCTGTCCATGTCAAGCTGTGCAACGCGTTCGCACCAAGTTACGTACATTTCTTGGCCGGACACAAGCGTGTGCGCCGTCGCACATCCGGCCACGACTATCTCAGTCGAGCTGCGCGTTAACCCCGCTAAGTCCGGCTATCATGGTTCAGCGAGGGGCAACCATTACCAGTATCACATCGAGACATTTGCTACAGTCCGCGCAATCAGACAAAATGGCACTGGTTATGAGCATTGCTATGCAACGCCGCATCTACCTAGCCCTGCGGCCCTATGCAAAACCCCACATGCCCCTAACGCCAGTCCAGCAATGCCAAAATCAAAGGCCACGCTTCTCATCCAAACTAGTGCTCCGTCCATGCAACACACCGAGACCATCGCTTCTCTTGTTCCTCTTGCCCCACACTTCGACCAGCGCCTCGCCAATCCGGAAGCACCAGCCGCCCGCGACCATGACACCCGATACAACGTTGACCAGCCTGATCAGAAGCGCCAGGAAGCCACCGTTCTCTTCGGCGATGGTGAGCATGATGGGCTCGATATCGTACTTGAAGAAGATGCCCGGCACGCTGACCTCGGAGACGCCGTGCGACTGCTCTGTCACCGCGTACTGGTTCGTGACAATGGTGGAGCTCGTGTCCGTGAAGACGGTCGGAACGACGGAAAGGTAGTACTGGAACTTGTAGAAGTGGTCGTCGGGCGTGGGCGTATATTCAATGGTGTTGTCGAGCGGATTGGTCAAAGAGGGGTAGAAGGGGCCGAAGGAGAGCTCGTTGACGACGTGCGAGAAGTTGAACTCTGAGAATGACATGTCAGTGATGGCCAATTGGCCGGAAAAGCGCAGCAGGCTTACGGTTGTGTTCCAAGTGCTCGAGACCAAACTCCAAGTATCCATGTCCCCTGGCCGTGATGTGGAAGTCGCCCTGGACCTTGTTGCCCTCGAGGCTGCCGTAGATACGGCACGCATTCGGCGTCCCCCTGAAGCGCGGGGTCTTGGGAAACTTCTTCTTCTTGGCCGCACCCAGGTAATCATGCACATCTTCCTCCTCGTACTTCGCCGCCAAGCTGTTCGCGTCGTGCGCCAGCGCATGGCCACCCTTCCAGTTTTGCCACCTCGTATGGTCCTTCTTCAGCGTCTCGCCAGCGAGAATGCGATCGCCCGAGGCATCTTGTACGTTGACGTGCAGGTCCTGACATCTCATGGCAACGACGATGTCCAGGTTGAGCTGCAGGTCATGGCCAACGCCCTTCTCGACACTGAAAGTATGCGAGGTTGTGCCAACCCACCAGCGCATGGCCTCGCTTATTGACAACCAGGCGCATGTTACGAGTAGGAGAAGGGTCCAGTTGGCGCCGGATTGCGTCTGGGTAAGGTAGGTGGGTTTGGTTTTGGCTGCAAGGAGGGGTTAACACAAGTGGCGCAAGAACAACCTAGGGCGAGAGAAGCGAGGTCAAAGGGGATAAGAAGACGGATTCACGAGAGGCATGAAGCGCAGCCAAAAACGAAGATGTACTCACGGAAAGCATCAAAGGCCTTGAGGCCGCCCTTGGTCTCGCCAAAGTCGTCCTCGCTGAGGCCGCGGTCGGCAAATCCGTTCATGGTAGCAGGTCGGGCGATTCAGCCGCTACATGGACCAGCGCAAAGGGATTTTGTTCAGAAATGAGCGGCTGCGGGCGTTGCGCGCATAGTGTTGGTCTGGAAGAGGCCACCTCAGCTCCGGCGGGAGGAGGTGGCCTGTGCGAGTCGTGTTTCCGCTTGCGAGGCCATCTCCGCGTGCTCCGCAGCACTGAAACAAAGAACAGTACGTACACTTGCACCACCGCAGAGAACTCTCTCTCTCTGAAGAAACGCTTTTGCTTCAGTCAAGCTAGCTAACTATCTGTTATTATACATGGGAGCTCCGAGCTCCAAAGGTAGGTCATTCAATTCATTCCAATCATTCAAAGAACTCCGCAACCTGTTCCTCCAGTGCCTCCTTTAAGCGCTCGTCTCATTGAGAGCCTTGTACTGGCCATCGTTGCTGATGCCGCCCTGCCTGGGGCCCGTGGCCGAGTCGTGCGCACTCTGGGCGTTCGTGCCGGCTATCTTGTTCTCAGCAAGACGACCGGGGTCATTCTTGCCGCCAATGTCGCCGCTGAAGCTAGCATTGGGCGCGGAGCTGTCGAAACCGCCCTCCGTGATGTTCTTGCCATGCGGCTTCAGCTGGTCTGCGGTCGGGCCGCCTGCGGTAGCGTAGCTAGGGGCGGCACCGACGTTGGCACCGCTGCCAGTCGTGGTGTTGTAGGGCTTGCTGCCACCAGTGGATCCTGAGTCTGCATAAGTAGGACCAACACCAGCGGACTTGCCCAGGCCCTGTGCGGCATTCAGTTGTGCGGCCTCACTCCAACCCTCCTGGGCTTCACGTGCCTCAGCAGAAGACGCAGCGTTCAAAACGGTAGCGCCAGAGGTGTCGGTGGTGTTGGTGGTTGTGCCTGTGCTGGTTTGCGAAGAGATGCCAGCCTTGGGGTTACCCGAAGCAAACGAACCGCCGCCCTGCGCGGACTCGGCAGCAAGAGAGTCCTTGGTGATAATGCCGGCGCTCTCGTTGACGGTGGGCGCATTAGGGTCGGTAACCTACGGGGATAATCAGTGGCTGCTTATTTTCCATGGTCAGGCACAGCCAAATCACATGTGACTTCCACGTCTTCTCCCGGAAGAAGCCAGGAAACACGATGGGAGATTTGTGTGGTTTCGCGAAGGTGCAGATATCGTGCAGGCGTCCGGGGTAAAGGAAATAGGCCTATATGGCCTTATTGTAGGTCACGTACCTTGGTGCCATGAGAAGACATTATGGCGAGTTATGCAGTGTTTGAGTCGGATAAAGGAAGGGGTGGAAATGTTCGTAGGACTTGAGCTATTGGTCGTAGCTTGATTTGTGTGCAGTTGGAAGATGCGAATTAGAACGCCGTGTATGCTGGCGAGCCAGAGATTGATATATCTGGCTGCCCCTCACAGTGTCCGTATGATGACATCACAGCGGCATCGACACCCCAGAGGCGGCTGGAGGCGACGTGAGAAAACGCAATTCTACCTGGGTGGGTCAAGAACATCCGACTGTTCCTGATCGCAAATCATCCTGCCCAACTCATCAAAGTGATCGGAGCATTGACCAGGGTCTGAGGACCATCATGTTGTCATTCTGATGCCAGTGGCGATTATCACGTTCATCACAGCGGTGAACAGAACGCATTGGCCGCACGCGAACTCCAACACAAGTCGCATTGCACCAGTGAATACCAACAGACATACCCCTTAATTTCTGCATACTGGTGAGTCTTCGTCTTTAAAGATAAACGCTGCACCGAATATACTGCCTAGAGGCGCATTAGCGGAACAGCCATGAACAAAACAGTCCCAGGATCTCCGCAGAAACTTGACACTGTTGGGCTCACCATTCACCACGCGCGGTAATAGCAACAATTGTGTGAATTTGATCATTATTTGATTGATGTCGTAGCTTTATGCTAATTAGATGCTTTATGCATCATCGCTTTTGTAAACAGCTAAGCCAGAAAGCACCTCATGCTTCGTAAGACAAGCCAGTCAATGGCTGACAAAAGAAATTCCTAATTCGTTCTGAAGGCAACCCTTACACACCGGTGCTGGGGTCGCTCTTCTGGGGGTACCCGTGGTCCTTGCCGGTCGTCTGCTCAAGACCAGCCTTGTCCTTGGCGTCGCGGGTGACGGCGTCGTTGGGGATTCCACTGAGACCGTCCTTGGCAGTACGGCCAACATCACCGCCGTCGTTCTTGAGTTCGGCGGTCTTGCTGTCGGCGCCCGGGCCGCCGGAACCAACGTTCACGGTGCTGGCGTCGGAGGAGTTGAAGTCGGAGGCAACCGGGGGCTGGTCGGGCAGAGGCAGGTTGGCCTTGCGCTCCTCAACGAGCTTGGGGTCGGCACCAGTGGTAGAAGCGATGGGGCTGTAAAAACTGTTAGTATTTGGCGCTTTGAATGGTGATAATTTGGTTGCCATTTTGAGGATGGCGGGGTGCGGAGTGATCGACGGAGGTACTCACTTGGCGTTGGACATGATTGCGGAGTTGTTGGTGTGTGAAATAAGTGGTAGAGGATTGAGAGTTTGCTGCTGGTGGAGTGGATTGGGTATCGAGAAGAGTGTGGATGTAAGATGAAGAAAAAAAGACTTCTGGCGGCAGAAGTAGGATGGTTTTGTAGTAGTTGCGCGATTGCTTGGTGGGGCTGGTGATGACGTCGTCGGGGCTGCATCGCACCGCAGAGTGTCCGGGTTATGATCGAAGATTCACGAAGTCCCATCGCTCACAGGCCGTTAGATCTTCGCTTTTCGCCTGGTTGAGCAGGCATGCACCACCCTTCCCGCCCTGTGACGCAATTCCTCTCCACAACGCTTCGGCCATGGAGGGGCTGCCAAACACCCAGCACCCATCTCCCGGTCGCCCACTGGCACCAGAGCGTCAGCGCAATTATTCCCAGTGGTGCGGGCACAATGCCTAGAGCCGCTATCGTCATCATCGGGCTGCTTCATGCAAGGTACCGCGCTTTTCCAAAGCCACAATCCATGGTCTGGATCCGCCTGTGTCTCCGTTCTCTGTGCCTCTCGGCAAACCTGGCCCCTTCTCTTCCGCTGCGTGTCACTGTTGTCCTTGACAATCAGCTACAAGTCCCTTGGTCCCAATGACTTAACTGTGGGGGTGGCAAACGTATGTCAGACATCAGAGCTGGTGAGCATGGCCGAAATGATGACATGGGGGAGCTTGGGAGTCCAACAACCAGCGGGCAACTCGAATTTGTCTAGTTAGATGACGACTAAACCTTGTTGCCACATCTGACTTTACGGCCAACACAATGTGTCTTACGGAGTATTGGTAGGTAGACGGTTGTTTTAGTGACACCTCACATCAGCTGCACTGTACTCTTAGGGGTCGGACTTGCCGAATTGTAACTGTTTCGTGTACCTGACACTGAAGCTCCAAGGTCTCCGACTCCAGAACAATTTCTTCTCCATTGACATGTCAATTCCTTAATAAAAAGATAAGAACCTCATAGCACGCGGGCGTAACTCAAAGTACATTTACCCAGTTGGCTGCAAGCCAGTCCTGAAACTTGATCATTCGGATTTGAGGAAAGTACTGATTGAGATTGGGGTCGCTGAAATCGTGCTGTCCCTCAGCAGTAGCAATGAGGTTCTGCAACCTCAGCTTTTCTACTTCAGTAGATGCGACCGCTTCCTGGTATTTGAGCGTTTGTGTACTCTCGATTGCAGGCTCCGTGTAGAAGTCTCTCCCTATATTCATATGTCAATGATGATGATTGGTTTATTTTGTGGACCTGACGAGATACTTACTGCGAGTTTGCCTTGCAATAGTGATCAGATCATACACCTTAAGTCTTTCTCCATGCATCCTCAGCTCTGGTGGCCAGGATGGCATATCGAGAGCGGCAACGACCAGCCGACCAACGTCCTGTGCCGCTGTCATACACACATGAGACAGTTGATTTGCGGAGCCAAAGGCTGGCACTTGAGCTGTCATGTATCGGAGATTCATCATATAATCGCCTTCCTCTGCGACGCCAGTCGAGCTACCCAAGCAACTGGCCGCTAATCCACCCTGCTGGAATCGCTCATACAAGACACCACATACGAAGACAGTTGTCGCTTCGAAATATGGCTTGTAGTGCTGGATATATGCGAGGGCAGATGCTCGACCGCGATCCAATGGATCATTAGCTGTCCTTAAGGATGGACATCCTTCAAACTCAGCAGGGGCGAACCGACGGACTCCGCTTGAAACTGCAGCTTTGATGAGAGCGAGCTGGGATGTGCCGCTGACAGTTGAAATAACGACGTCGATTCCTGCTAATGCGTGGGCTAATGTTGAGGGGTCGGCATAGTTCACTGGCTGGACTTGATATCCACTAGCTACTAGTGCTGGCTGAGGCTATAGACTTGTCAGTATACATTATTTTGAGGAGAAAGAACAGATAGTGTGAATAATAGGGCTAGAAAAAATTCGGTTTAACGAATACTTTGATAATGTCATGTTGGACGTATTTGCTATGCGGATTCATGGGTTTTATCGCGTGTATTCGGGAACAAAACATTCGAGAGGCATAAACTGGCCCTATAACAGCTCAAATCTCTACTTGGGATAGGCTCGAGTGCAAATCGTCGTATCCAGGGGCCAGAAATGAATTGATTAACTCAGAAAGTGAGAATATCCATGACTGGAGTCTACTTTTACGAGCAAGCAACGAACTTGATCAGACTCGAGATGAAAGAAATGTGATGATTTGATAGAATAAGATATCTTGAAATGGTACTAACAGTTCGAGAGATGAAAACGAGCTGATGACTGGTATCTTGTCGGATATAGTGAGCGATAAGTTGCCCCAGACCACTGGTGCCTGCGATAGCGATTCGCATGGTTAACCGTCTGAGCAATCTGTCGGTTGTCAAAGCCGATGTGGTTAACCCAGAAGATCGATCGATCCCCGCTTAAATATACCCGCTTCTATAGTTGAGCCGCAACACAGAGAAACGCCGACTGGTGCTACCGCACACCTCCGTGCCCGCGCAGCAAGGTGAGGGTTATTGATTAACTCCTGACTCAACCTACAGTCATCTTTGGCTTCTGCTGCAGTATCAATCCTGGCAGTCACACCACAAGAGATGTGAGAGCAGTCTGGACTCTGGAGCATTCATGATCGGAGAATGGAGCGGGTTCAGGGATTAAAAAACACTGATCATGAGGCCTTTTCTCGCTGAAGGTGCTAATAGGTCCACTGCAAAACAAATTAATATCGAGTGGGCGTTTTGTTGAAGTAAGAAATAACACTTAGGAATAGCCGATTGGCCCATTCCTACACACTACCAATAAAAGAGTCCCTTTTGGACTTGCACGGGAACGCAGACGACCGCATGTTGTTTTTGTTGCCTGCTGCTGTGCTTTTGCTGTCGCTGACGATGGGAGGCCGGAAAGATTTGCAGTGATTTTCCAGGGGAGTTGTCGCAGTGATTGGCTCCCAACGACGAATGCCCGTCATGACTGCGTGCTTTTTTAACGCCAGTGTAACATCACTCACCGGCCCACAGGTAGCGACAACCGGCAGGACGGCAGCTGGGAATCGGGCGGGGTGAGCATGACCACCAGAGTGGATAGGCCTGACCAAACTCTCACCGCATTCCTAAACCAAAAGCATTTGATAGGAGTCAGGGTATATTTTTGTCTGATGGAATCCAGGTTGCCGCGGAAAGAGCCCTAGGAGAGGACGACATGGATACATGTCCACCTCAGGGGAAGCTGAACTTATGCTTGCGTCAGCCTCGAGACCCGAATCTTTACCCTTGGTGACCGTTGGGCCCTTGAGATATACCGCTGTCTCCAAGGTGGCAAACTTTAAAGCTTCCTGTGATGATTTTCTGGCCATGCTTACCTTCAAGCTCACGAGACGCTGACAACTAATCAGTGACGGGGAAAATGTTTTCCAAGATGGTGGGAACCAATGTACTAGTTAACTCAAGCGTATACTCAATATCAATAACAGTCATTTGAGCTCATGTGTCTATGGACACCTGACTGCACGACCATGCAGCTATCGTAAGGAAGATAATTAGGGGTGACTCAAATAGAGAGATTGGAAGAGCTTAATGTGGGTGCAAAAGGAAAAGCGGTTGATTGATACTTCCTGCTGACCATCCGGACTGTCCGAGGACGTCTGAACAAGCACGGTAGGACTGTAGATAATTGGTTCCGATGTAAAGAGCAACAGCCCAGAAGGCAAGGGAAGTGCTGGTGCCTTCGGAGAGGCCGTAATGAGCCTCACTTGCTCTGCCGATCTTAGACTCTGCGGGACTAGACGTTTTGCTGCCTGCGCACTCTGCGCCAGTGACGAAAAGCAGTTGGGAGGCGAATGTGGTCATGTACGCCGAGAGACGATCAAGGATGGGCGCAGGGCTGAGCCCACGAACTGCAGGGTAGTTACATGGCCGGAGCACGTGAATGACAGTCACGTGACAGCGCGTGCACGTCGTGTCGATGACCCAGCGAGAAGAATGCGGCGGTGGTACGGGAGCCCGTCGAGGACGCAGGCAAGGCCAAGCTAATGAGTGCTGCGCAGGAATGAGGCCCTGGGGTGGATGGTCTCGAGGCGCGAAGGAGAAATGGTCGCCAAGTGGCCGCGGCAAGAGGCATGACGCGAACCCATCTTCGGCTCCTACCACGCGCACCTTTCCACGACACGCGCCCAGGGTACGGGCTCGCATCCTCAATCCTCGACTTATTTCCATCCCCCCGTCTGGTCCATAGTCTATATCCCTAGCCCCCTCTCGGTCCTCTGTCTCGCCTGCGATGAGCGATTCCGGTTCGACCCCCTCCGCGGATTCTGCGAAGCCCTTGAGTCCTTCATCGGGCAGCCTAGCATTTCTCGTCCACTCGCCCGACACGGTGCAGCGCAATCTTCCTCCGGATGTCGACAACAAGCCGCTTGCGCGCCAAAAGCGCAGGCGCACAAGGTACGTTTTCTTGCTGGGTGTTTCGGTTTGGCGTCGCCCACGGGGGGACGCGTCTCGACACGCCGCACCGGCCCTCCCCCGACATCGACACGAGCCGCGCTGCATCGCGCTCATGCCCCGAGGAATTCATGCTGACAACGCCGCGCGTCCACAGCCCCGAAGACCAAAAAATATTAGAAGCCGAATACTCGCTCAACTCCAAGCCAGACAAAATGCAACGCCAGAAAATAGTCGAACGCGTCGCCCTAGGCGAAAAAGAGGTGCAGGTATGGAACCCCGCATTGCGGCGCGACTTGAGCAGGGAACCTCGCGACTCACGCTGCCTACAGATATGGTTCCAAAACCGTCGCCAGAACACACGACGCAAATCTCGGCCACTCGAACCTCACGAAGTTCGCTCCCATTTAGAAGCGAGCTCGCAAGGTCTCAACTCCGACACGCTGTTTTCCTCGTCGTCCATACCACATTCCGACGATAGCGAGGAGGGCGAAGATGGCACGGCGGTGCACGACGACGAACCTAAGACCGAGGCAGAATCTGCTCACGATGCCGAACCTCTATTGCTCGCCGGAATAGAGACTGCAGCCAATGACGACGGTCTCCCGTCATCTACCCAAGAATCGACCTTCATCGAGCCTCAACAGACGCATGCCACGATAGAAACTCGTCCGACAGAGACGCCACCCATTGCCGCAGCGGTTACCGAATTCAGTAACTCTCAACCCCTGCCATCTTCGCAACCATGGCCCTCGTCGCAGGAGAGCCAAAAGCAAGGTATCGGTTATCTTGCGAATCGGCGCAGCGCTTCCTTTGTTCGCAACTATGAGGAGCCTGCTCTGGAGAAGCCTGTTGCAACACCGGCTTCGCCACAAGAGCAGGCTCAACCAAGAACGTTAAGGAAGACTCAGTCTTTCGTGCGACTGTCCATGACCGAAGACGGAAAGGCTAGGGTGATCAACGCCGACGATTCTTCGCCGTCGCCGCCTAGGTCTCAGCCGACTCCCAGTACAGTTGGCGAAAAATCAAGTGGCTTCCGCCGCAGCTACAGTGGCACTGCTTTGAACGACAGATTGAAGCAAGCCCAGACGCCTCGTACGCCATTGGGCCTCTCTAGGACCTCCAGCGGGCGCTCTCGTGACTCAAGGGCATGGGAATTTTGGTGTGACAGCGACGCCCGCAATTCGTTAACACAAAAAGCCAACCAAGAAGGAAGTGGCTCCGCAGCAGACGCCATTGGTCTGATACGTGCCACCAGCAAAAGCGCTCTAACACCGAGTTCGAACAAGCGGACTGCGCCGCTACTACCTCAAAGTTCGGCAAAGCGCCAAAGAACGGATGGCAAGACACCCAGCCGTCCACCTCTTTCTCGCTCATCATCATCCCTGGGCCGACTTCAAGGTGGAAGGGCTGCTGGGACATCGAGGACGCCACTCAAGAAGACGCAATCGGTTAAGGTTCCCAGGACCAAAGACGGCGATGGCTTCGAGGTTCCGCAGACCGAGTCGGACAAGGAAAACTGGGAGCCCAGTCTTCAGAGCACAAGTACCCGCCGCCGCCAGCCTGCACATAGCCAGCAGCGGCGCCGCGTGTTGGGCGAAAACACGAACATCATGAGCACCAACAGCAGCCTGGGGGCTATGATGGAGCGAGAAAAGGGCGTGAAGGCTGCCGGCAAGCGAGCGCCCAACCCGGAAGAGGACGGCGAGATTGCGGCTTTCATGGGAAGCGCGCGCGGTTCGAATCAACGGCCGAGTGTCTCAAGCGGCGAGGAGCTTGGTTGCGTACAGGGCTTGCTCAAGCTCAGCCAGGGCAACTGGAGGTGAGAGAAGAGAGAAAGAGAGAGATTGATGAGAAATGACGAAATCCGTGGTGTCTTGGAGTTGATTATTGGATAAACAGCAGGCCGGGTGTCGCAAAAGTTGGGACACAACTACCTGATCAACCAACTGCACTGCAAAGATAGAGGCAATAAGGTAACTCTCAGTGATTGGCGCAATGTGTGGTGTTGTCTACAAAGTAAAGAGTCCCACATTTTGCGAGATCCGGGCCAAGGGCCAAGGACCACCGGTGGTGCCGCCTGACGGGGGGTGGGGGGCGCACGTACCCCTCGGCCCCGGCGAATCAGAAGCCCCGCCTTGCGCAGGCGTTGGATTTTATCGCGTCGGACCTCAAGCTCCCTTCGAGAGAAGCCTCACCATGTGCGAGACAACCCGCTCACAACCATGGCCACCAACTCCATCAAGCTGCTCACGGGCAACAGCCACCCTAAGCTGGCCAAGCTGGTCGCTGACCGGTATGAGACTTGCGGCTCGTGAAGCTCTCCAGGGCTCCCCGCTCACTTCTTCTCTCCCCGCAGGCTAGGCATCGAGTTGACCAAGATCCTCGTCCTGCAATACTCGAACCAGGAGACCTCCGTCACCATCGGCGAGTCTGTCCGCGACGAAGATGGTACTCCCGCATTGTGCTCGCCGCTCTTTGCTACGCACCACTGACCACGCCCTTGCTCAGTCTTCATCCTCCAGTCGACCGCGCCCGGCGACATCAACGATGGCCTGATGGAGCTGCTCATCATGATCAACGCCTGCAAGACCGCGTCGGCGCGTCGCATCACTGCCGTCATCCCCAACTTCCCCTACGCGCGCCAGGACAAGAAAGACAAGTCGCGGGCTCCGATCACCGCCAAGCTCATGGCCAACATGCTGCAGACGGCCGGCTGCAACCACGTCATCACCATGGATCTGCACGCCTCGCAGATCCAAGGCTTTTTCAACGTCCCCGTTGACAACCTCTATGCCGAGCCCAGCACCCTGCGCTGGATCCGCGAGCATCTGCCCGTCAAGGAGTGCGTCATTGTCAGTCCCGATGCCGGCGGTGCTAAGAGGGCGACGTCCATTGCGGATGGCTTGGACTTGGGCTTCGCCCTTATCCACAAGGAGCGCGCGCGGCCCAACGAGGTCTCGAAGATGGTGCTGGTCGGAGACGTCAGCGACCGCATTGCCATCATCGTCGATGACATGGCCGACACCTGCGGCACGCTGGCCAAGGCGGCTGACGTCGTCATCCAGCACGGCGCCAAGTCGGCCATTGCGATTGTCACCCACGGCATTCTGAGCGGAAACGCCATCAATGCCCTGAACAACAGCAAGCTGGAGAGGATTGTCGTCACCAACACGGTGCCCCACGACGACAAGAAGGAGCTTTGCCCCAGGATTGAGACGATCGACATCAGCCCCACGGTAAGCCGTATTCCGAAAGAACCGCATTGAAGCAGGACCCTCATGCTAATCCGGTTCGAAACAGCTCGCGGAGGCCTGCCGCCGCACGCACAACGGCGAGAGTGTGTCGTTCCTCTTCAAGCACGCTCCGGTCGATTAAAAAAAATAGAGACGGCATGTTTACGAATACCATAATGGCGTACGGCGTGATGTCAGAGCGGACACCTCTATAAACAGGCTCTCCGGTGTATAGCTTGAGCGTTTCATGCGAGAAAGAGGCTGGCTGGTCGGAACGGGATATCCCTCAAGGCCGTTTTCTTAGGGCATACGTACTAAACAAATCAAGAAACTCATGCTCAGGCAGGTTGAATTATCATACATTACAGATTGGTCAAACTGACAATCGTACCTATTGCACGGATGTTGTAATTGCCTCGAGTGTGTGCAGACAAACGGGTATATTGACTGCATGAACAGAGCAAGTATTTGTTGGCGAGTTTTATTACCGAGAATAAAGCAGTGTCAAAGATGAATGGACCAAGAAGGATTATGAGCAGTACCGCTGTTGGACGGAGGGGAAGCGAACGCATGGTTTGTTTATCCAGGCCAACAAAGAACGAAAACTGCAGGCCAGCAAAGCAAACAAGCAAATCCGTTTCCAGAGCAACGGGATTGAAGTCCGGTAGCAGCAGCGGCGGCGGCGGTAGCGAGCATACGTACTCTCTCGGAGCGATAACTAAGGCACGGCGTAGACGGATAGTCGGCAACTACGCCATCCATCCGGAAAGGCGTAGGTACCTGTTTTCTTTCTTTGACCAGCCAGACAGCATGTCAGGTAGGTGGTGGGTAGGTAGTAGTCGTGGATACGGGAAACCGCGGCCAGCCAGCCAGCCACGAAAGCCTCGACAAATGAGACAAAGAGAGGTAGGTGTCTCAGCACGCATCCGGGCAGTGCATCCATCCAGGCATGCGTTCAAAGTCAATCAGTCATTTCTCGCTCCTCGATCCCGTCACAAGCCCGCGGCGCGTGCGCGTCCTCGCTTTAAACGAACGCGCGCTTTGGGCGTGCGTGTGTGTATGGGTGTGGGTGCTTTGTCAACCTATTTCTCTACGCCGTGGTTAGATCGTAGATGTGGTTACGCCTTGCGTTGCGTTGCCTTGCCGTGCTTGCCACACGCCCATGTCCACGCCCATGCCCTTGCCCTTGCCCTTGCCCTTGTTCTTGTTCTTGTTCTTGCCCTTGCCCATGTCCATGTCCATGCCCATGCCCGTTCATGGCCTTGCCGACCGGCCAGTGTGCGATCCGAGATCCGAAACAGACGGCTGTGGCGGGGGTGTTTTGTGTGCGGTTCGATCAGATCGCGGGGGGGGAGGCGGCTGGGGCCTGCCCTGGCTTGCCCTGGGCTGCTCTCAAACACTCTCTCGCAGCGGCACGGTGTGGGTACCTGCCTTGTCACTAGCTAGCTGGCTAGCTACTTGTGTAGACGGTCGACAGATATAGTACTGTAGAGAGACAGACAGACGGCACGGCACGGCACGGCACGGCAGCATGGCTAGCTAGGTGGTTGTGGTGGCGCGCGGGTGGACAGACACACGAACGGATGGACGGTACAGACGGATTGACAGATAGACAGACGGGACGGCGCACACAGTCGCTACCTACAGTATGTACTGTAGATACGAATACTGAATTGGGGAGATTCCCATCCCATCAGCACATGCATCTACAACTTGCTCATCCCTTCCCTTCCCTAGGTACCTGTACATCGACATACACACACATCACAAATCCACACATTCACACAAAACCCTCACAACCTCCGCGCCCTTCCGCGGAGCGACACGGCAAGCACTAGTTAAAGCGCGCACCCCCAGACGCAGATAGCAGCAGGTCAGGCAGGGAAACGGCGACGGTCTCGCAATCCCAGCCGACACGCCACCCCATGTCGCCATCCCAGTCGCTGCCGCGTTTCGCTTGTCAAGAAAGCAAGCGAGCTCCCGCGCCGTGGCACCCTTGTCTGCCTGCCTGCCTGCCTGTCTGTCTGTTTCGTCTCTCTGCTGCTGCTGCTGCTGCCGCGCATGCAAGCGCACGCACGCACGCATGCACGCAACGCCCATGCATGCGCGGCGGCAGCTCGCTCGAAGAGGCTACCTACGCGGCCGGGCGGGTCGGGCGTGATTGGAGTGATGTAGGTAGGTACGTAGGGAGGAGAACAGAGGAGAAGGAGGGAGAAGAACGGGGACGGGAGAACGGGATGCGATGGGATGCGATGCGAGGAGAAGGGAAGGGTGATGCGCGCGCGCGCTTTGCGCTCCCTCCCAGCGTAGTGGATGCGGCTGCATAAACGCGTGCGCGCGGAGAGAGCGCTTGTGGGTTTAATGCGAATGGGTGGTGTTTGCTCTCGATTGCTCGCGATTACTCGATTGATTGCTTTGCTGGCCCTTTACGCCTTGCGCCTTGCCGTTTAAGAGCGCTTTGCCGGCTGCTGCCGACCGGCTGGGATGTCCTGATGTTTGCAGGCGGGTGCATGAGGACGTCGGCCCTGGCTGGCTGGCTGGCTGGCTGGCTGGCCGGGCGGCCGCACGCACGCATATGTACACACGCGCTGCAGGTGCGCGCGAGCACGGATGGAGTTTGCTCTCCTGCTCCTGCAGCAGCCAGCTGAGAAGAGGACGGGCGGCAGCGGTAGCGGCGGCGACGGCGGCGACGGAGGCGGCGACAGGCAGACACAGGCAGACAGACTGGCTGGCACCACCTGGGCGGAATGGAGGGCGCTCGCCCGCTCTGTGATCTCCAGGGTCGTTGGGAATGATCTCCAAAAGCAACGAGCGGATCTCCCCCCAGCTGCGAAGATCCCGATACGATGCGGCCGACTGGGTTCTCGCGCATTCGCGTTCGCAGATGTTCCAAAAACAAAAAAGTATGCTTGCGCTTGTTTTGCGTTGCTTTGCTCTGCTTACTTAGCTACATAGGGACGAACCAACCAGAAACCAGCCAACAAACTTAACCTTTTCTAGTACCAGTGACCTACCTGAGTGACCGAGTGGGTGGTGGACGAGTGCGTCCGCACACCACAAACAAATATTCACATACGCACACGCGCGCGCGCCCTTGCGCATGCTTTTTGGGTGAGGAAAGACCAGGCCTCACCGACCAGGATTGGATTCCGCGGGCTTGCTGCCTGAACCCAGGAACGAGTGTTGAGCAGGGGCGAGGATAGGAGACGGTACCGCAGGCGCTCCCATTCGACGACAATTGCGGCGCGGACCCCACGACGGCGGACGCGAAGGTAGCGCAAATGCCAGATGCTTTTCCGGGGCCTGCAGGCTGGGTGGGTTGGTGGCTTGATAAGGGTTTTGGTATTTTTTTTTTTTTTTTTGTTTCTTTGGCGGGTTTGTTGTGCTGCAAGGAAAGGAGAGTGGGAGATTGGTAAGTAGTTAGACAGAAGAAAAAGAAGAAAAAAGCTTCACGGCTACTGCTCTTCCGGCGCCATGGGAATACTACTAATGCAAGCGAGAATAGATAGGGCGCACTCCGGCATGTAGAGGAAGAGAAGGAAGAAAAAAAAAAGAGGTGAAAATGGTGAGCAGACGGTGACCAAAGCTGCCAAGGGTCTTGAACAGCGGGCTGGGGGGCCTTGGAGAGATTGGGAGGGTGTGGTGTGTGAGGCGAACGAGCGAAAAGGGAGACAGTGGATGGATGGATTGGGAAGGGCATTGTCGGCAACGGCGGGAGGGGCGCGGGCGGTTGGGATGAGCGGCGGCCGGGGGAGGGACACACACGGTGCGGCACAGCTCACGTGTTGGCGTCATTGGCATTCCAGGGACGGCCTTTTTTCGCCAGGGACCCTACGGGCTCGGCGTCGCGGCCACTGCGGCTTTGCCAGCCGTTGATCTCAAGATCTCCCCGGCCCATTTCCCAATCCAGCCCAACTTCTCCACCCTGCCTGGCCTTGCCCAGATATAACACTCCCCATCCCCGCCAGCAAGTAGTCGCCCATCCAGCAGCCCTCACTACCGCTACCTCTACCACATCTCTCTCTCTCTTGATCATGTCGCCAAAGACCCGCGTCGCTGCCGCCACCATGATGCCTCCACCAGCCTCCACCATACCTTCGCAGAACCGCCTGCGCCCTCCGCACCGCCAGCACTCGTCTTCGTCAGGCGGCACTGGTAGCGGAAGTGGCAGCAACACATCGAGCCTCAAGCTGCCTTCGCTGCCACGCTTCCACCCGGCCAACTTCCCGTCGCAGTCGTCATCGGCGGCGCAGACGCCATCCACCAACCCCAATAGCCCGCAGCCACCACCGTCGCCCTACGCCCAACAGAGGCAGTACTCGGAGGCCCAACGCCAGCTGTACCTGTACCAGCGCGAGCTGCTGGCCACGGCCGCCCGCAACATGCACGCGTCGTCGACGGGCGGGGCCACGGTTCGCCCCGTCTCGCCGCGCCTCAACCCCCTCGGCTCCCCGGGCCCCGTCACGCCTCTGGAGCTCGAGGGCCAGGGCGACTACCTCGTTGCCGGAGCCCGCTCCGCCGCCGCCCTCGCCGCCGGCTCCCAATCTGACCTCGTCGAGAAGCTCATCCAGGACGAGGTCAAGCGCGCCGGGCCCATTTCGCCGGGCCGCCCGACATCGGTCGGCGGCTGCTAGGCCTGTCTCTTTTTCCCTTCTTCTTTCTGCCCGGCTACGCCGCCGCGTGCGTCGGCTTTGACGATTTCGGTTCTTTTGGGGGGCATCTAGGGGGTTGGGGCAAAGGAAGGGCGTTTGGGGCGGGTTGCTTTTGTTTCCTTACCGTTTTCCGTCACAGCATTTTTCGGCGTCTGAGCGATACCAGGGACGCACACAGCTGCTCCCATCATCTAGCATCATCATCGTCATCGTTACCATCAGCAGCATTGTTTTTTGCCAGCATCTATCTTTTATACCATACCACCACGAGGACAGACAGCCAGCCAGCCGCGTCTCTCGTTCTTTCTCTACAGAGATACCATCAAGCTACAGCATTGAACAAAGAAAAAACTCGTTTCGACACCATCACCATCATCATCGTCGTCGTCATCATCGTCGCCGTCGTCGTTGCTATCGTCATCTTACATTGCACGGCATAAAACCCCCCATCATAGCAAGGAAATCAGCGTCCGTGTCTCCAGCCAACCCGCCATCTCACCCGCAAATCACCCCAACCCCAACCCCAACCCCACCCGCCCGCATACAACCACACCACTGAACCCCCCTCGGCACGAAGAAAGAACCCACGCCCCAAACTTCGCGTCCGCTCCGTCCGGCACAGCACGGCACGGCAGCAACAGCAGTAACAACAGCAGTAACAACAACAGCAGCAGCAGCAGCAGCTACCCACTCCACACACACACACACATACGCACACGGACACACACCAAGCCCGCAATAAAAAAAATAAATAAATAAATAAATAAATAAATAAAAAAAAAACTAAAACCAAATCGCTAAACGACTCGTCCCCCTTCCCCCTCGAAACAGCACTCAAGGCAAGCACCCGCCCCGCGACAGCCGCTCGCCCACCCGCCCGCTCGTTCGATCTCTCCCCTCGTCCCCACACAGTCGCGCGCACAGGTCCTGAGCCAATCTCCGCAGCCGCAGCCGCAGTCGCAGCCGCATCAGCAGTCCACAGGCACAGGCACAAGCAAGCAGGCGCGCACCCACTCACTCACCCGCCCGGCCGGGGTCGCACGACTGTGCCGTCATGATCTTCGCGCGCGACACATGGCAGAGGGGAACGAACGACGGAGCGGGCAGGGGGCCGCTGCGGCGTGTTTGTGGTTAGGCGGGTGCACTGGTTGGGTTGGGTGGGGGGTGGGCTTGTGGGTTGTGGGTTTGTGGGATGGCATGGGCAATGGCATGGCATTGGCATGGGAGGGGAGCGGAGGGTCCTGCGTGCGTGCGCAAGTCCATGTTAGTTGCTTACCTTACTGGGTGCGGAAGCCCGTTGGCGTTTGCGCTCGCGCGCGCGCGCCTTGGGCCGTGGACCGTGGGCCCTGGGCCGTGTTTTGCGTTGCTGGCTTGCTGGTGCTGGTTAGGGGGCGTGGGTGGGTGGGGGTGTCAGGGGGAGGGACGGCGCCTGCCGAGCGAGGAGAGTGGAGCGGATGCGCTTTGCTGGGTAGGGAGGGACGCGCGGTGATGGCATATTGGCATGGCAATGGCATTGGATTGGATGGGTTGATGCTCTAGGAGGTAATTGGCACTATTGCCGTGTAAATAGGCAGGCGGGCAGGCAGGCGAGCGCGACCTACTACGGATTACTACCTGCGACGCGACGAACGTTCGTTCGTACGTACGTACGCAGCAGCGCTCTCTATCAATATCATACACACACAAACACACACATACAATAGCGCGCAGGCAAATACAAAATGGCGCGGGCAGACTGTAGGCACGTTTAATGTAATAGATGAAAGTCACACTACCTGGCGTGTCTATCTACTACAAGGCATAGTTACACCTGGCCTGGACAGCAGGCCGCAGGCGTGGCCCTCTCTCTGCCCTACACATCGCGCGGCGCGGCTCCACAGCCAGCGTGCGTGCGAGCGTGCGATCGCAGTTAACTAACTAACCTACCTAGTGAGCACCAGGACCAGGTGTCAAGAAAATTAAGAAGAAAAAATGTCACTGAGTGCCAGCTGGGTTCGCGCGAACAAGCAACTTGCCTGCATTGCGGGACCCACGCTTTTGCTCTAACGTAACGCGCTGCTCGTGTCTCTCGTCGCCTTGTCCCATGCCATGCTCATGCACTGCTAGGTGCTGCTATTTTTTCACTAAGACCTAGGAGGAGCCGACTTCCGACGACGAGATAGATGAGCCACACACGCACAGCACAGCAGCGCAGGCGCAGCAAGAGGAGGAGGCAAAATCCACCCATTGCACCACGCTCAACAGCCCACCTCCAAACCTACAACACTAGGTACAATACAATACCAGCCAACCAAGCGCGCACCCTCGACCCTCCCTAGGTCCCCCTTGAAACACAGCACCCAAGCACACCTCCCCCCCCACACACACACGCACACGCACACACCCAAACCCGCAGTCCGCCCGCCCGCACCCATCTCGGTACAATAGGGTACCACGCACGACCTACGCATTTCCCTTCTCGCGCGCCGCGCGATCGCCGCCCAGGGTGTCACTGGCACGGCGGCGCGTGTCAATGTGGACTGTGAGTCTGTGGCTCCGTCCGTGCTCGGCGAGGCGTCGGTGCGTGCGTGGGTTTGGAATCGTACTGTGTACATCACTGCGCGTGGTGGTGGTGGTGGTGGGCGGTGGTCGTGGTCGTGGTGGCTAAACGCTTTGCCTGGCGCGGTGCGGTGCGTTGCGGTGCGGTTGGTTCAGGCAGCCACTACATACCTCTCGGTGCCCGTGATGAACAAGGTATTGTAGGTCCTCCGGAGTACCTGCTGCTGATCCTCCGCCGTCAACGCCGACAAACGCGTTTCCGCTGGTGCTTGCTGCTGCTGCTGTTGTTGTTGTTGTTGTTGTTGCGCGAGGGGGTTTAGGTTACTATACCATCTACGGAACCTAGACAATGACATTTCCTCTTTCGGCGCCCGCGTGCCTCGCATCGAGGCCTCCCTCCTACCCACAGCAGCAGCAGCACCTCCAGCGTCCCCCTCTCACCTCCTCCTCACCTCAACCCAGCAATCCACACCACCTACCGCGCGTGACCGCTCCGTCCCGCTCCATGGCAGCAACAGCCATGCCCTGCTTCGCTGGCAGCCAACGCAGCCAACAAAGCCATCGCGAGATTTTAACCTCTGCAGCTAGCTAGCTACCTTAGCTAGCTACCTAGCCCGCGCAGTCAGTCCTCCGACCTCCGGATCAGCGGGCCCGTCACCAAAAACCTGGAATCCTGCTACAGTACCTAGCAGCTAGCCGCTCCACCTCCAACGACCGACCCCATCGCGGCGCAAAAATAGCAGCAGCAGCCAGCAGCAACCAGGCGTGCGTAGCCTTAGCACCGCTGCCACCGCTTCCGCTCCTCCCCTCCTCAACCTACCTTAGCCGCCTTAGCTAGCGCCATCGTGATCGTGATCGTGACGGACAATAGGCGCGGCTGGCGCCCGCTGCGCTGGCAAAATGCTATCGTCGGGGAAAAGAAAAAATAAAATAAAATAAAAGAAAGGGAAAGAAATTTCTGCTGAGGATGCGGTGACTGTACCTGTTAGCCACGGAGTTTACGGTCGCGCTGAGCCCGAGGGATAAGCGCTGGCGCGGCGATGGCACGGCGATAGTGCTGCTGCTGCTGCTGCTGCTGCTGGTGTGCGGATCCGGGCATCTAACTACCTACTGGTCGCGCCGGAGGAGGACTAATAGTGGGCGCTGCTGCTTGGTGCCCGTCGGACAGCCTAGGGTCTGAACGTGAGTTGGTATTGTACCTGAATAATATAGGTAGTGAGCGAGCGAGTGAGTGGCAGTCAGTAACAGACAGTCAGTCAAAGTCACGCACCGGGCATTCGCAGCGGCAGCAATCAAATCAATGACGCGCGCAGATCGCGGACACCACTTTCCCTTCGTAGGTAGACAGACACTAGGAGTAGGCACAGCACGAAACAAGTCCTGACGATTATTGTTGCTCCTCGTCTGCTCTGCTACTCCGACGCCGACGCCGACTCCGACTCGACTGACTGACTACCTAGGTTGATTGACTGATTGACTGATTGGCTTCCTGGCTGTGACTGACGGACTGAAAGACGGATTCCGGTGCCCGCGGCTCCGGACTCCTCTCCCTCCCCGCCCAACGCCCGACACTGCTCGGGACCTAGGGAAAGAGAGAGAGTAAATGAGAGAGCGATCGCTTGCCCCATCACCTCACCTACTACGCCGCACCATCCCACCGGCTTCCTCCACCTCCTCAGCTATAGCCCGCGCCCCCTCCCCCCATTATATGCTCTGCTCCTCCTTTGGGCAACCGCCGTGGCTCTGCGTGAATATAGCGCCTGTAGCAGAGCAAACGTATGCGACGGCCCCGCTCGTGTGTGTGTGTGTGTTTGTGTGCCCAGCCCTGACCCGGACCGACCGTGGCCCTCTTCTTCTAAACGCTAACACCATTAACCCGCTGAACGCTATACAACATGCCCCCCCCCCCTCCTCTCCTGACCGAATAGCGCAGCAGCAGCAACTACCACGCTCATCTCGCCTCACCTCAGCTCACCTCACCTCCACCCTCTCCGTCTCCATTTCCTCATCTGTTTGGCCTAGGCCCGCTAGGCAGTCCGATCCGCCCCGGTCGACTGTATCCCCCGCCCGCCGTGTCGTAAGCCCCTCCTCCTCCTCCGCCGCCGCCCCCGTACGCCTGCGGGCTGCTGTTTTGTGATCTGTCGAAAGGATTGGGACGCTGGCCAGGGCTGCCGGAGCCAGGGCTAGGGCCGGGGCTGCCGCTTCTGCTGCCACCCCATAGTCTTGCCTTCAGTCTCTCCTGTGCCGAGCCCCCACCGCTGGATGTGCCGTCAAAGCTGGGGCGCGACGCCTGCGAGTGCGCGCTCTGGTAGCTGCCGGCTCGCTGGCTGGGCAGCGGGCGGCCCTGGGCTGCTGCCGCTGGCTCTGTTTGCAGGAAGCCGCCGCGGCCGCCGCCCGTGCCGGGCCGGGGTTGGGGCTGACCGCGCGACCGCAGCGACATGGGCTGCGCCGGGGGAGCTTGCTGGGCGGGCGAGTCCCAGAGGTCGCTGAGCCCGGCGCGACTGCCGGGTGCAGGGCTGGCGGCTTGAGGGGCGCTGGAGCGGGCGAATTGCTGGACGGGCGCCGACTGCGGGGCCTTGGGGTCGGGCGGGAGCCATGGCGGGAAGGGACGGCCTGTCTCGACGTAATAGGCGCGCAGAACGCGCGAGATGTGCGAGTCGTCCTCGGTGTCTCCGTCGGTCTCTTCGGAGAGGAGGTTGCGGCGGAGCGAGTTGTAGCGTGATGTCGTGGTAGTGAGCAGGTTGGAGAGGTACGACGACATGATGGCCTACTAGCTCGCGGGCGATGCCGATCGCAGGGCAAGCCGAGGGTCGTGGGTGTTGATGGGAGTAACAGGGAGTCGAGAGGGCGTACGTGGTAGGGTGTGTGTTGGAGGGGCTCCGCCAAGCCTTGGGTCAATCAGCCCGATGATGCTCAATGCGCCCGTTTCACCCTGAAATCCGCTCCTTTTGCAACGTTTAGCGTGTCTGTGTCGTGTGCCGGACGACTGCTTCTACTGTCTCTTCTCTAGAGACACGGTCGAGTATCGGTCGTAGTGGGCGGGCAACAGACGCCAGGGAGCCGGGGGAGGGGCCCTGGAAGCGTCCGGGGCGCACGAGCACGCTGCCTACTACTTTGGGGGCGCCGCTGGAGCAGGCAAGCTTAACAAACGAGACGGTAGTAGGATCAGCGGGGTTGCGCTGTGAATTTTCTCGAAGCCTCGCTTGGAGCGGTCGCGCGATGCGGGCCTGGTGCCGCCAAGGAAGCCACCGAAGCGCAATTGCCCGTCTAAACGCCCGGCCTGTCGACAACGACAACAACAACTACGACAATGGATGGAATTTGTTGCCGGCGCGACAAGGAAGTGCCCCAGTGCGATGCCCGGTGATCAATGGACGATGGTGATGGATCCTTCGATCGCTAACGCTTCTGGCAACGAACGAGTGCACGCGCGTGGTGGGCGTTCGTTGGCAGTATGACGAGCGAGGAGCGGAGACCAAGGCGACGGACGTCGAGGAAGAATGGAGATGGGTGGACGAGACGCGATGATGCTGATGCGCCGTCGCACGGCAGCCATGTCCCGATGCGGCAATCTTTGACATCGAAGTCGCAATACTTTTTTTTTTTTTTACTCTATCTCTCTGCTGCTTTCGCACAGCCCCCCCTCACATCCCCGACGGTGCGTTTCTGTGACGACCAAGCTGCTTGGCTTCTTCTTCGGCATGCGTCAGCCTTTAGGGCTCCGAGACCAAGTCGCAATTGGCAGGCCGTGGCGTTCGCATTCGACGTTGCGCCGCATCGCAACCGTTCATCATGACGAGATACGAGCGCGCTCGTGTACGCTAGGTAGTTTTATTGCTACTACGTGCGTACATAGTGCCGCCTACCGAATTGGGTAATATTTCCTCTGCAACGACAACGACTCGTCGCCTTGCCAGCGACAGCGAGCCATAGGCGTGTCGTCGTCGCCCACCACCAGCAAAGACCCTGCGTCTGCGCGACACTCTTGACTCTCAATTTTTTTTCTTTTTTTTGTCTCGTCTGTCTCGGCAGCAGCCGCCGAGGCTTGTGTTGGCTGACCAGAGGCGCGACGTCACCGCGACTGGGGGCCGAGGCCGCCAGACCCGCCCGGGTCGTTGCGACGATGACAGTGACGGCGACCCCGCAGACGGGCATCGAGCCTGCGAGCGGGCGGGCCCGCTTTTCGTCGCGCCATGTTTCGCGGCGCGGGACGAGTCGACGCCTGTGGCTAGGGTGCCACAACAACCATCTGATAGGTATGGCAATTATTGAGACAGAATGACAGAAGGAATCGACATGACCTGACTCTCTGGGAGCGCGCTATGTAACTGGCCCGCCCATGCGCGCAGTGCACAAGGTGCTTTGCTCGGTGACAAGTCGGCGGCGAGACGGTGGTTTGCTTGTTGGAGGTTGCATTGCAGCAGTCGTTGATGGCTGCTGGTCATGATGAAGATCCAGCCGATCTTGCTTGTTGCTGCGCGATCTGCCCGTTCGACTCGCCCGTCGTTTGATTTTGCAGCGATTGTCATTTGATGCTGCCCAGCCCATGGCGTGTTTGGGATGCTGCAGGCCATGACGCGACGGGTAGCGATATGAAAGTCGGGAAATGGTTCGCATGCTCGGGGACATGATAATCGCAATAATCATCAACTAACAACAACAACAACTTTCTTCAACATTCAACATCGTCGTCGTCTTCAAGCCGATCTCACCCAACGTCGCCAATCTGCCCTTCCTGCAAGCCCCTCCTCGGCACTTGCCCTACCCTTGCCCATCCACTTCCATTGCCCTCGTCTCACTGCCCCTAAAACCTGTTACAGTACCCTGCTTCCGCCCTGCCCGCCCTGCAAGTCCCTTTCCCAGCGCGTCGCGTCCTCCACAACACTCACGCCGCAACCCACGATCCACAAGCAAGCTACCCATCGCACGCACGCACGCCCCCGCGGAGCGACGCAAAACGCGCACCGGGCACGGCGCCCGTGCCCGGCAGCCAAACGAGCAACGAGCAGCAGCGAGCAGCGCACAGCGCCTTCGCCGACGTCAGCGGCGCCCACCGATCTGCCCTACGCGCCGCGGCCCCCCCAAGGGCCCAAGCACAAGGGTCACGGCGCCAAGGCCCGCCTCCGGTCGTCGCACTCTCTCGCAAAACCCGCGGCGTTGTCGTTGCGCTGCGGTTTGCGTGCGTGCGTCAGAGCCGGAAGACGCTGCTAGCCCGCTTGCCGCCTAGCGATATGGGGGCGCCGCTTGCGTGCGTGCCTGCGCTTGGACTGCTTGTAGGCTGTCTACCTACCTACCTACCTACCTACCTACCCTGCGCACTACGTAAGGCTTGGGGCTACATCCATACGGGACGTAGTTACGTCAAGGTACAGGTACCGCTGTGGTGCTCGGTAGGTAGGTATGTGGAGGGAGCTAGTAGGTAGTTGCTCGTACTCCTACTCCTACATGGAAACTCCATGGGGCAGGCACGCACGCGCGGGCTTGCTTCGGCCGCTCGCGTGCGATATTGCAAGTGCGGAGCGCGGCTCACCATGGCGTGCGCGAGAGGGAGCGCGCCGAGCCGCGCGCGCACTGGTAGATTCGATTAATGCAGAAGGGACGGGAGTCGTACGATTGGGACGGGGCAGGGCTCGCGAGACACATTGGGAGGCCTGGTTGCTTGGGGACGCGTTATACAATAGGGGATGGGATGGATAGGGAGGAAGAGAGGTAGGGGGTTTGTGGCAAATATTGTAGGTAGGTGGAGGCGTGGGTAGGCTCCTTGTTGTAGGCAAGAGTGCGGTGTACAATATTAGTGCCCACTACTATCTACGTAGTACAACAAACTACTCCCTGGATCGGCACGTGGGAACTGCTCTAACGCGCTGTAGTACCTATCTACATCACCCACACTGAACAGGTCGGTGAGCAAACGAACACGTGCTTAGCAGCATTGCAAATCAGTCTTTTCAGAAAAAAACCATCGCCACTCATTAACGCAGCGCCATTCGCTCGCAGAAAATTCTCAGTCAAAAGCCCACTATTCTCCTATTCTCCTATTGTATTACGACGACACTCGTATGTAGCACGACGGCAAAAACAGCGAGAAAGAACCGGTCAACTTTCCGCTTGCTCGAGTTCAGACCAAGGGTTAGTTTAGGGAGGTCTTGAAGATCACGGCCCGCGCACGAGACCGCGCCTCGACGGCGTCGTTTTGGGATCTGTCATCTTCGACCGGTCAGCGCGGGACGAGGCATGTGGACAATGCGGGGAAGGGAAGCGATCTCTCGGCCTAAGGGTCCTGGGGTGCGTTTTCTGCGGAGAGAAGGATGTAGGGATGAGGGGAGGCGGGCGGATGACTTTCTTCTCCACCCGTCCTGCTGGGATCTACGCCGCCGAGGCGTTCCTGTTGCCCTTGTAAGCGCTTCTTTCTTACGTAGTACAAGTGCCGAGCTGCCCTCATTGTGGATCAGAGATGATTGTTAAGGATCTGCTGCGCCGGTGCTTGTTAGACATTGATCTTTGTTTGTTAGCTCCAGCTGAAGGGACTACGTAGAGGGACCAGAGAGCACGTGCGACGTTGGTCCTTTGAAGATTGATATGTCGCTGCAGAAATTGCTGATTCTTGAACTTTGGTCTTTCAAGCTGACTTTTAGCCTGACATCTACCGCGGAAGCCCCGTACTACCAACAGCAAGCATCAGTAGGCTCTCTATGAAGCTTATGCACATCATCTACCGCCCAGCTTCTCCAGCGCCCTCGCACCCTGCTCATCCCATTCCGCCTTGGTAACCCACATGCTTTCCTTGTCGGCCATCTGCGAGTGAAGTCAGCATTGGAAATATGACATGTCGAGGAGAGAGCCAAAAATCTTACAATGTTCGCCAGGACGGCACCGCCGATGAAGACCATGTGCCTTCTCCGCGGGGGATCCTCAATGCGGACCTTGAATTTCTGTGCGAAAGCTAGTCAGCATAGAGCACAGTAACTAAACGAGCTGCCACTGCCGGAATGCCACTCACGTTCAATCTCTCAGGGTTGCCTTGCAAGACCTTCGTTAACCACAGCTGCTTCAGCTCCTTCTCCAGACGACTAGGCAGACCCGGGTACATGCTGCTGCCACCACTCAGCACGATGGCCTTGTAGAGATCAGACCTGACGTCGACATCAGCCGCCTGGATGGTGTTGAACAGGAACTCGGCCATGCCCGGCTGCTCCACATCCACCAGGTGTGGCTGGAACAGGCACTCCGGTGCCTCGAATCGCTCGCTTCCGACCCGGATAACTCTGCCGTCCGGAAGGGTATATGACTCTACGAGCACAGTCGTGTCCTCGCTCAGGCGCTGGTCCAGCTCCAGGTCGTATGAGACATAACACAGCTTCTCCTTGATTTGGCGGACAGTCTCGAAATCAGCCGTGCGGTTGAGCGCGTAACCCCTCCTCAGCAGGAGAGCAATCAGGTTCCGCGTAACATCTCTGCCCGCAACATCCAGTCTCCGGGTAAGGTGGTTGAGCACGGTGCTCTCGTAAACGGGGACAATGTGGGTGACACCATCACCGGAGTCCACAACGACACCCGAGGAGAGACCTTGCGCGTAAAGCGCCAGCACAGCTTGGATCGCCACGTAGACGCCACCAAAGTTGTAACGCTCAAACATGACCTCAGCCATCTGCTCGCGGTTCTTAAGGGGGTTCATCGGCGGCTCGGTGAGCAGGATCTTGCGGCCCGTTGGGTCAATCTTCATCTTCTCGAAGAACGTATAGTCCCACAGGTGCTGCATGTCGTCCCATCGCTTGACAATGCCGTTTTCCATCTGTCGCGGGTAATGCCATGTCAGCACGTTCCAGCCCCTCCATTGCGCCAGCTTCCGTTGTAGAGCATTGAAGCTCGGGGAATCGTACGGGGTATGTGATTTGTAGCATTGACCGCGCCGCTGCTGCCTCGTCACCACACATGACATCCTTCAGCACTATGTCGCCTGCATCGCGCTCCTCAGATCGTAGGATAGGGCGGCCGACTATCGAGGGGTACTGGTGGTCCGGGAAGTTCTAAAGAAAGAGGACATCCATCAGCCTAGCTCTGCGGAGGTTCACTGGGGGCAATGAACCAACCTGGCCCGCGAAACCGGCCTTGAGGAAACCGGTACCGCCGTCGAGAACTATGGGGGTAGCTGCGTCAGTGTGGTCCGTAGGGAGCTCGGGGGAGCTGCCGTACCGATGGGTGCTTCCGCCATGTTGTTCAAGGAGCGGCCGAAGGCGGATGCGAATGAAAATGAATCAAACGGCTGGACAGCGAGTGGTCGTGGAGTTGGGGAGTAGCGGTATACGTGCCTAGCGGGGCGCCGGGGGGTTGACGTTGTCGGAGTTGGGCTGACCTGTGGCTGGGGCCTCACCTCGGGGATTCACTTCATCCGGGGTAACGTGGCGCATGTGGCGCAGCAGCTGTCAAGCTCCAAACACAAACTACGGACAAAAGCAGAGCGATTCTAGAATCAAAGATAGTATTACGATCATTGAGTGGGCTTGGTATTGGTATACCGGAAAAGTTATCTATTTTGGGGGAATAATTTCACCCATGTCTTCATGCCTGTCTTCTGTTCCATGTCCACATAACCCCTCACTGTCTCCAAACGCCAAACGGACATCCGCAACTCTTAACATCTTTAGTGCGATATGTCCCTCACCGAACACATATTTGATACATCGACTACTGCTGTATAATAGGGTCATCAGATATGTTAACGCCAATTTTCGAGCGGTTGTCAAGCGACACCGTGATAGATATTTGACTTGGTAAACTTTATCTTCAGCCACTTACATCGGACTGGTTAAGTATACAAAGTAGTAACTCATAAATGCCCAACAGCATAAGAGTCCGTCCTAATCATCGCCAATCATAGTCATCGCTGGCATTGCTCATCGACGCCAAACTGTCTCCTATACTCCAACCCATAGGATAATTCTTCTCCAGATAACTTTTTTCTCTCCCTCAAACGAAGGTCATACCATCTCCATCTCTTCAACCCGCCAAACTATTTCTTCTCAAAGAGCTTGGGCGCAATTGCAAGGACGACTACCAAGCTCGCCACAATCAACGAGCCAGCAATGAGGGACACCAGCACGATGCTACCTCGGCTAGCCGGGAATCTTCCCCGAATAATATAGTGTTGGCTCTCAAAGTACCTATGGAACCCTATTAAGAGCATGACGATAGAAATCCCAATGAACGTAGCGCCTAGTGGTTTGCCGACATGCCTCAGGTGCCGCTCGGCAGGCGAAGCATCGTCAGAGAGAGAGGTGTTGAGGCGGAACAGCTGAGTCACGGCGATGCCGATGCTAGCAAAAGAAAGAGACGTGCGGAGCCAGGCCAAGAACGTACGCTCTGTGAACGGGCGTCAGCATTCGAGGTCCTCCAGTTCTTCTATCACCAGCAGCATATGCCGCACAGAGAACCTACCCAGCGCCAAATGATCCCGGGCTACACTGCCCTTGTTCTCCAGCTCTATACTCCCGTAGTTCTCCGCAAGATGGTGATACCATCTATGGCCATTAGCCGCAGCCGCAGCAGCTTCTTGTTCCTGCGTGCTTCGGCGTCTAGACCTCAACGAAGAGCTCGCACTCCCTTGGCGCCCCGTTGCTATCCCGTTGCCTGCATACGGGGTGCCTGTCTTGTAATCTTTTTGTCCATTCCCTCTGGAACCAATGATCGCCGTCGTTTCATCAGCACTGCTGCCGTCCATATCGGCGGTCGGCGGTACGCTGGCACGATTACGCGCGGAGTGTTGCGGTGGTTCGCTGAAGGTAACGCTTTTCTGGCTCTCGCGACGCTTGGGCGGGTCTGCCGGGACAATGGGCTGGATTTCGCGGTCCCTGGCTGAGTTGTTGGAGCTTGAAGAAGATGAGCTCGAGGAAGATGATGATGATGAAGACGCAGTGCGACGCTGCGATCCTGCAGGTCCGACATCTGCAGTACCTCCATTCCGGGACGTCTTATGACTGAAAAGCCCCATAATGTGCGCCGCCGGTTACGTGCTCCTCCAGGAAGCTCACACGCGGGGACTAGCCAGCTAGCTTGCAATTGTCGCAGGCCTCGATCGCACGTAAACAAACGAGAATCTGGATCTGCAAAGTATCTTGCATGATCAGCGTTGGTGTTCCTGCATGGGACAGATTTTGGTCGCGATAAGAGAGCATACCGTAGCTTCTGTGGCTGGCGACTGGTTTCGTGATTAGAGGCCGAGTGACGTGCTCGTTCCCGAAGGTCATTTGTTGCGGGGCGGGGCCGGTCGATCTCCGCGTCGAAGCTTCACGCAACAGGCATGGAATCATATAGGAACGCTGCAGAGCAGGGTCTCATGCAGACCATACCATGTAGAATTTGAATTCCTTCACTCCCATGCTCGCCTTTCTCGAGGCACAATCAATCTAACCGCTGCCCCCCAGATCTTCATAAATCATTTTTTGCTGTTCAATCCTTCATGGAAAAAACCTCGCCAATATCGCTAGCAAAACGCCAATCCATGATATCGTCCCTTACAGAATTTCTTTCCTTCTCATAACCACGGCGTGGTACAGGTTAATCATGGAGCCCTGTTGGTCTTTTCGCTAGCAAGAAGTCGCTGCCTTTTCAGTGCATAGCATTGGTGCCAATTACGCAGCAGTCATCTCAGCCGTCGACTTGCCTGCGCGCGAGCTCTTGATAACTTTCTTGATGATGTCCTCGACAGAGTCCCAGTCCTTTGTACTCAAGGGAAGAAGTTCCGTGTTGAAGTAGCTGGCAATCTCGGCCAGGTTCTGCCAGCTCCTCTTGTCGTGAATGAAGCTGATCGCGACACCAACACGGCCGAAACGTCCAGTACGACCGATACGGTGCAGATAGGTTTCAGGATCGGGGCCGCCATTGGCAAGCTCGGGAACATCCTGAATAAATCAGCAACGGGAAACTTTCCAGAGTACATATCACACTTACATAGTTAATGACCATAGTCACGGACTGCACATCAATACCACGAGCCAAGACGTTGGTCGTGATAAGCACCTTGGCTTCTCCGCTACGGAACTTATCGATGATGCTGTCACGCGCAGGTCCGTCAAGGGCTCCGCTCAGCTGAGCAACTTTATGGCCCTCAGCTGTCATGCGCGCTTCGAGCTGGGCAGCAGTGTCTCTCCGCTATCGAATCGTTAAAACGTGTAAAGCATATTTGGAGAGCGATATGATTGCTTACTTTAACGAAGATAATAGATGAGGCGATCGTCATCAGGCCGTAGAACTGAAGAAGGACCTTGTACTTGTCCTCTTCTCCCTCGCAATCGAGGTAGAACTGTTTGATACCCTCCACCGTAAGTTCCTCGTGCTTGAGAGTGATCTGGTTGGCATTGGGAGCAAAGATTTTGGCATAGCGAATGACTTCGTCGGGGAAAGTGGCAGAGAACAGAACGACCTGACAATCCTTTGGCAGCAAGCTAGAAAGACGTTAGTTAACAGTGCCAACCATAAGAAAAGAATCGTAGGTGACTTACGCCTTAACCCTCTTACATTGGTCACCCAGCCCTTGCTGGTCCAACATGTTGTCTGCCTCGTCAAGAACGATGACCTTGATACCCCTGGGATCCAGCAACCTCTTTCTGATCATGTCCATGACTGTACCCGGAGTCCCGACAATAACCTGTCCTTCAAACTTTTGGTTACGGCGAGTAGGATCCGGGATGGCAGCGGTGACAACGAGGTTCTGCAACTTCTTGCCCATTGTTTGCACGACTCCCTGGATTTGACGGGCCAGCTCACGACTAGGGGCCAGGACCAGAGCCTGCGGCTGCAGCGTATTGAGGTCGATGCGGCTCAAAACGTTGAGCGTGAAGGCCGCTGTCTTTCCAGTACCAGACTGAGACTGGCCGATGAGGTTCGTAGGAGGGTCCATGAGAAGCAGAGGAAGCGCCTTCTCTTGAATCTTGGACGGCTTCGAGAATCTCATATCATAAAGGCCGTTGAGGATGTCCGGGTTCCTAGAATCAGACAAGTCAGATCAACGCTGTCAAGTAGATCTTCCTGCCGCGGGATGTTAAACATACAGGTTGAGCTGTTCGAACGTCTTGATGGAGTAGAGAGGGTTGTTCGGGTTGGCCTGCAGGTCGGCAAGCTTCACTTCGACATCATACTCCGGCTCCTGGAGACCGCTGCCGCCCAACTGCTCGGTGGTGCCATCGGTTTGCGCTTGTTCGACATCGCCGGTCGGGGGAGCATCGTCCTTAGAGATGCGATCCTCCAGAGAGGGAGCTGCGCTCTCCGGTTGAGCAGGAGTGTCGGACATTGTGAGATTTGTATAGGGCCCGCTGGGAGATGTTGTCGCTACTGCCTTGTTAAAGAGTGGGCTGCGATAAAGGTTTCGCGTTACAGCCTAGGCAGGGGAGACGCAACGGGACTGTCTGTCAGAGATGTGAAAGGAAGGATTGGCCCAAGGTCGCAAGGGAGTTGGCGGGGTAGTTAGTTATATGTGGGATGGTGGGGTTGGGCAAAAGCTCAATTGTTCCAGAGCTGCAGGCGCGCGCAAGGCGGGACCTGGTCGTACCTACCTAAACGATTACCGAAGTTTTGGCGGCGCCGTCAGCCGTCATCGCCGGTCCCCTCGGTCGCCTGTCGCGAGCGGGCAGGGACCCCTCGGATGCTCCGTTGCGGCCCAGCGTTTACTGTCTCACCTCCGCATCTCTTCCATGCACTCTCGCGCCCATTCGAGCACACTCTAAATCTTCATTCATGGCGGAACTGGACATCGCGCCAAACTTTGGCGCAGAACTCAAGGTGAGCCTCCCTCCCCCGGATCGGTCTGTTGCGCTTGGACTAACCTTCGGGACAGGATGGCTTCAAGCCCGTCAATGCCTGGGTACGTGTGTTTTTACCACCGGACCGCACGCCTACAACCTCAGGCGGGCGCGGAACACCTCCGGCACTTGCTGACACGGCATGGCGTAGGTCGCGAACGGCATTGCGTGGCTCGGCGATATAGAACAGTTCTACCGTGAACGCAGCGCGATAGAGAAAGAGTACTCACAGAAGTTGAACGCGCTGGCCAAGAAATACTTCGAGAAGAAGGCGCGCAAGACTAGCTTGCTCAGTGTGGGCGAGAACCCTACTGTTACCCCCGGCTCTCTGGAGTGGTATGGCCCGCTGCTTTGGTCCCCGAAAGCAGACCGCCTCGCTGACGCGTCCCCGCAGCGCTTCCATGACCACATGGCAACAGCAGCTTGCTACACTGGAAAACAGAGCAAACGAACACGAACAATTCTCCACGCAACTCATCACGAACCTCGCCGAGCCCCTAAAGATTGCCGCTGGTCGCTACGAAGAGCTACGGAAATTGCACACCGACTATGCCACCAAACTCGAGAAGGAGCGAGACTCTACGTATAGTGACCTGAAGAAGCAGAAGGGCAAGTACGACAATGTCTGTCAGGAGGTAGAAAACCGTCGTAAGAAGACGGACACCGCTTTCGACCATGGCAAGCAGAAGGCGCGCGCTGCATTTGAGCAGCAACAGATGGAGATGAGAAATATAAAGGTAGGGAGGACATTGCGTACCCGTACGAACTTTGCTGACAAACAGCAGAGTACATACATCATAAACATCAATGTAACAAATAAGCAAAAGGAAAGATACTACCACGAGTATGTTCCCGAGCTTCTAGATGTAAGGTGCCTAAACTCCACCTTTTTCTGAGCATGCCGTTAACCGATAATTTCTTTTTAGAGCTTGCAGGATTTGTCTGAGACCCGAGTTGCCAAGTTGAACACGATATGGTCCCTCGCAGCACAAATCGAAACGTCCACGCTTGCCCGCAGCACAGAATTCCTCAACCACCTGGCTTCCGAGATCCCTAGAAACAACCCTGTGTTGGACTCCATGATGTTTGTCAGACACAATGTTTCTGAGTGGCAAGACCCGCCGGACTTTGCCTTTGAGCCAAGCCCAGTTTGGCTTGACGATGACGCAATTCCGACGGACGAGACAGCAAAGACGTTCCTTAGGAACGTTCTGACGAAGAGCAAGGGCCAGCTGGGTGATTACAACCGCGAGCTGGACAAGAAGAGACGAGAGGTTGAGAATGCTAGGAAGACGCGTCAGCTGATCAAGGAGGGCAAAGACAAGAGGGATGAGGTCGAATGCGTTCGAGCAATCTTCCATCTGCAGGAGCAAATGCATGAATCGGAGCGGAGCAAGGTCACTGCTGAAGTGGAGATTTCGACCGTCATGTCTGCTGTAGGCGACGTAAGCATCGGCGCACGGCAACACAACTTCAAGGCCCAAACGTTCAAGATCCCTACGAACTGCGATCTCTGCGGGGAGCGAATTTGGGGCCTATCAGCCAAGGGCTTTGACTGCCAGGACTGCGGCTACACGTGTCACAGCAAATGTCAAATGAAGGTGCCCGCCGACTGTCCCGGCGAGAAGTCTAAAGAAGAGAAAAAGAAGTTAAAGGCTCAGCGACAAGAGGAGGCACATGCCGCTCATGCCAATCTTGGTACAGGAGACTCTTCGTCGGATATGCCCCATCTGGGCCGTAGCGACACTGTTAATTCAATGAATACGCTGAGCTCTGGGTACTCCGCCAGCCCAGCTCAACGGAAGATGTCCGTCGCGTCTGACGCTGAAGCAGAAAAACCAGAGCGAAGTGGGACGATCAAGAGCGCGCTTGGCGGTATGCGTAAGAGCCGCGCCATGGCACCGCCGCCGACGCAGTACGTCAAGCCTGAGGCTGCACCCGACAGCAGCAACGGCGACGGTCACAGGGCCAATGAGCCTAGAGGCAGGATGCTCTACCCATACCAAGCCAATGGTGAAGGCGAGATATCCATTGACGAAGGTAAAGATGTCGCCATTGTCGAGCCAGATGGTCAGTACTCCTGTTTTCTCTTTCACGTCCTTCATCAATTAACTCATAGACAGATGGTTCCGGCTGGATAACAGTGCGCGCCGGCGCGCTCGAAGGTCTTGTGCCGGCCAGCTACGTGGAAAGTTTGCCGATGAGTCCGGTGCGCCCCGCATCAACGTATTCGAACTCGACAGCATCACTGGCAGAGAGCATCGCCGGGACGATGAAGAAGAAGGGACCGGCGGTGGCACCCAAGCGCGGCGCCAAGAAGCTGAAGTATGCTGAGGCCATGTACGACTACGAGGCGCGCAGCGATGCCGAGCACAGCATGATTGAGGGCGAGCGCTTCGTGCTGATCAATCCGGATGCGGGCGATGGATGGGCGGATGTTGAAAAGGGAGGAATCGTGAAGAGTGTCCCGGCGAACTATATCCAAGAGATTTGAGGGGTGAGGTGAGCTGTGGTAGTGGTGGTGATGGTGGCGGTGCTTGGCGAGTGGAAAGATATCCCTGGCTTGCGTTGTTGTTGCTATTCTTCTTATTTCCCGTCCTTTGGCGTAGATGCTTTGTGTTGCCGTTCCATTCCCACACAGTTTGCTGCTTTAGTTTTGGCGTTGGCGAAGTGAAGCAAGCGGGCACGAGGTAGTCGTGGTCGCCAGACCGGGTTCTTAAAGAGCCGCGCTGTTGGCCAATTAGGCCTGGGCGCGGCTACGCTGTAATACGTATTTAGGAAGTACGCGGCTGTTGTTTCTGGGTTTCTGGTGGCACTGGCACTGTCCGCCCTCGCACATTGCACTTAACATGTTTGGAGTGGATTGTCGACCCCACTGCTGTGTAGGTAGGTAGGTACGAAAAGCACACGACCGCACCGCATCAAGCACACAGCCTCGGCCCCAACCGCAGCCTCTCATCACCTTTACCTATTCACATCCACATCCACACTCAATCACCCC